GACCTGACCTTAGGTCATCGATATCAAAATTCTGAGATATACATTTTGTACATGCTATTGCTCTTAGCAATCGCTGAAAGTTTCAAAGCGATCGGTCACTCGGTGTAGCTATGACAGACATTGAAACTTTTTATGAGGTGAGGTCACTTCAAGTGACCTGGTGACCTGACCTTGAATGACCTTGGTCTGAAATTTTCACAACATGTGTAGAATTGATGTATGATAAGGTGTAAAAAAAAAAACGGCGGCGCTCCGCGCCGCCGTTTTTGAGATATTCGCGAAAAACCACAAGGGGGGGGGGGGTGTTCAAACACCCCCTCCCCCAGCAGGGCGCGGGTTAATCTTGGTGTGAGTGATTTCATGTGCCGATGATTTTGTTCAGGAGTAAGTGATCAAATACAGGTCTCAGGTTGGTACTTCAAATGTCTCGCTTCAGATCGAACCGTCTGCGGCAATGGCACACCACATAGACGGAGATTGAACGGAATCAAATTTATATTGAAGCTATGGGTATTAACTTCGCCGTACCCTGCTCTGAGACCGTCTACGCGTAACATCACTGTATCCTGCTCCGAGATTTGTATAAACAAACATCATTCCCTGCTCTGAAAACTGTCTAAAACATCTTACCCTGCTCTGAGATCCGTCCAAAACATCGTACCCTATTCTGAGATCCGTCTTAAACATCGTACCCTGCTCTGAGATCCGTCTAAAACATCGTACCCTGTTCTGAGATCCGTCTTAAACATCGCACACTGCTCTGAGATCCATCTAAAACATCCTACGCTGCTCTAAGATCTATCTGCACTCTACAGTCTACACGTAACCTCATTGCACCCTGTTATAATATCTGTCTACCACTGACCCATGTAGTCCTTCTTCGTGTGACCGTAAAGCGACCTGTGCCATGCCACCACCTGGGCCAGCGCCTGCGGCTAGTCTTCGTCTTCCGTTCTGTCCATCAACTCCTGTGCCAGCTTCACTCCGCCATCCGCTCCATCATTCACAACTGCCAGACTGTTGTGAATAATGGAAAAGAATTGACGTATTTGTGAACTGCGTTGTAACCTGAGATATTTTCCCATTTTTTGACAGGCTCTTGCAACCATTCGAGCGCGCACTCGTCCAGATTCTGGATGAGTGACTATGATTCTCATAGCCGGGTGCAACCATTCAAGGGGCACTCATCAAGATTCTGGATGAGTGCGCCCTCGAATGGTTGCAAGAGCCTATCAAAAATGCAAAAGTATCTCAAGTTACAACGCAGTTCACAAATACATCAACAGTCTGGCAGTTGTGAATGATGGAGCGGATCGCGGAGTGAAGCTGGCACAGGAGTCGATGGACAGAACGGAAGATGAGGACCAGCTGCAGGAGCTGGCCCAGGTGGTGACATGGCACAGGTCGCTTTACGGTCACACGAAGAAGGACTACATGGGTCTGTAGTGGTTAGACAGATATTATAGCAAGGTGCGATGACGTTACGTGTAGACTGTAGACTAGAGTGTAGATGGACCTTAGAACAGCGTAGGATGTTTTACATTTATTGCAGAGCAGTGTACGACGTTTAAGATGGATTTCAGAACAGGGTACGATGTTTTAGACGGATCTCAGAGCAGGGTACGATGTTTTAGACGGATCTCAGAGCAGGGTACGATGTGTAAGACGGATCTCAGAGCAGGGTACGATGTTGAAGACGGATCTCAGAGCAGGTTACGATGTTTTAGACAGCTTTCAGAGCGGGGAATGATGTTTGTTTATACAAATCTCGGAGCAGGATACAGTGATGTTACGCGTAGACGGTCTCAGAGCAGGGTACGGCGAAGTTAATACCCATTGCTTCAATATAAATTTGATTCCGTTCAATCTCCGTCTATGTGGTGTGCCATTGCCGCAGACGGTTCGATTTGAAGCGAGACATTTGAAGTACCAACCTGAGACCTGTATTTGATGACTTACTCCTGAACAAAATCATCGGCGCATGAAATCACTCACACCAAGATTAAAACGGGCATTGCCTTCTCTCCGGTAGGCACGCACGCAGTCACGCGCGCGCACACACACATACACACATACGGACGCGTACGGGCACGCACACACACAGTTACACACGTATGTATGCGTACATATACCCGGATCTTCATCAGTGTGCAATGTGCGTGAGATCTGAGCATCACTGAGCATCGGAGAAGGTAACATTGCTACGTTGCTTACACAGATGTCCCGTTTTGCATTCGGGGACTACAACGCTGCATTATCATATAACACCAAAATGCAAATAAAACTTCAGAGCACTAGCGGCAACCTTGTTTACCGGTAGTTTACTCTATAAATTGGTGTGTGAGGTTCAAATGAACCAAGGAACGAACGGGATCCCGGTGTATCCTAAGTGCATTGGAAAACTTCGTGAAATTTGGGACACCCTAAATTGGGCAGCTGTGGGATCGAGTTGGAGTGCCCTTATATCAGTGCTTGTTGCGAATGACATTGCAGACCAACCACTTGACCTGGCCAGTGCCCAGTGGCCAGTGCTCATCTCACGTCTGGTGGGTTGATGAAAAACAAGCCAGTGAAAAGTGTTGATGTGATGACATGTGATGACTACTGCTTATTTGAAGTAGCCATTCTTGTAACCCCCCCCCCCCACCCTTTGTTACTGATGTTTTGCATTCTAGCATCCAGCCAGTTTGACCTCCCTTGCCAACAGGCTGCCATCTGTAACAGTGACAAGAACTTGGATGGCCAACTGACCCTGTCACTCTGTACTGGTCTGACCCCTCATCCCTTCCTTTTCTTTCTGCAGGCTGCAGTCTGTGGCAGGGACTGTGACTGGAATGGCCAGCTGCGCATTCCATCAGCCCCGCATTTTCCCAACAGTCTGTAGTTTTTAGCTGAGACTTGGCTTGGATGGCTAACTGACAGCGTCCATACCAATCTGACCCCTCCCCTTTTCTCTTTTACCGATAGGCTACAGTCAGTAGCGGCGATTACGACTCGGACGGCCAGCTGACCGTATCCGTACTGCACAGTCTAGACCCGTCGCCTCGGGGCGTGTTCACACCGCGCGGAGCGATCAGCGTGCGCAGTCTGCGCAGCGGAGGCAGCGCCACCTACCAGCCCACCGGCGCACTCTCCTCGGCCGAGCTGGCCCAGCTCAAGGTGGGAATGTGTCCGGTGCTGCCATCTGTGGATTCGGGGATTGCGGTGCGGGCAGAGCTTTTGACAGGCCGGTTATAGAAGGAAAGACGACATAACCTCTGTCTCTAAGTTTCGTCAATAGTATTATGCTAACCGGTATATGAACCGGTATGTTTTAGTTTCAGTGACATTACCTACGCGTAAAATACGCGGTGTTTTTGACGAGATTAACCTCCTGCCTTTTGGTTTACAGACTCTGGTGGAGAACGATGGCATATATCGCCTTAAGCTGACAGCCCAGTCACTGGACGGACGTAAAACCGAGGTGGCCACATTCGTCAAAGCAGTACGTTTTTTTTTTACATTGTGTCACAAGCAAGGCTATATAACCACTGAACGTATGTTATCGTCAAGCTGGTAACATGGTTTACCGCGGATATCGTTTCACATGTCACTCTAAATGCTCGATTACATATGTCGAGAGCATGCCTTTTTATCGGGCAAGAACTATTAGTGTAAGAAGATGTCAGGGTTGCTCCAAGATCATAAATCGTTAAACGAATACGAAAAAAATCGGACCAAGCGCCCTACTATTTTAGCGTTTTCACTTCCCGTAGGGACACTTCAAAACCATGAGTGGCTGACCATGGTTTATTGCGCTTCTATGAGCTCCCAGCATTGCGTGTAGGTATTCCCCGGTCTCAGCCGATTGCTGACAAATGTCTGTCTGTCTGCAGTGTCAGCTGGCGGAGTCTGGCCTTCGCGACACGCTGCTGCTTACCATGGACGCGGCCGGCAGTCTGGTGGCCGCTAGCCAGCTGACGGACGCCGGCCGTTGCCATGGCGACAGTCTGGCGGCGCTCGACGGCCTGCACGGCTTCAACACGGACGTCACCATCCGGCAAACGGAGCCGGGACCCATGTAAGTGGGGCGGGCGGAGAATGGGTGGATCGTGGTTTTCGCGGAACAGCTTGGGTTTAGTTGGAGCAGCTTAGGTATCGTAGAATGCCGCTAGCACCCAGATACCACCCAGATTCAATGGGAAATGCAGCTATGTATACATAAGCAAATATTAAAGTTGCTTATTACAACGATCGGACACGAGCCTATCAACAAAAGGCAGACAATGTGCGAAGGTCTTGCTTACGGCAATGACTTCTTGCAGCCCCGACACGGCCAGTTTCATCCAGAAGATTGAGCAGGAGAAGCTGGCCAAACAACGCGGAGAGACCAAGGATAACCGGTCCTTCATCGCCAAATACGTGAGTGAGAGATCCAAGCACCCTGGCAGCGCGTTAGCCCCTGGACAGCTAAGCGTCTCCAAACCTTTTACGACGTCCAGTCCTAATCTTTGTCTGTGTTTTTCCACCAAATAACTACGTTTCTCATCCGCCACATTACTCTTAATGTCACACTTCAGTCACTGATGTAACGCTTATGTTACCTATGCATCTGAATTCATGATGTCACGTTCCCTTACCTCTCTAGCGTCACAACTAACGCCTGTGTCATTTTCTCCGGCAGTGGATGTACATCGTGCCGGCCGTGCTGCTGCTGATGGTCTCTGGGGGCTCCGACCCGCCCCAGCAGGGCGGCGGTGGCGGCGGACGCTGAACGCTACTCCTCAGGGAACAGCTGATAGCCACGCCGAGACGGCGTGTCGGACATCCATCAGGTACTGTTGGCTACATACACAGCCAATGGGTACACGAATAGCACTGTGGTGTAGGAAGCGGGGTGGGCTTACGAGTCCAGCAACGCACTTCTACGCCACACGGTGCGTAGAATTCTGAGACGCTTCATCTCCACTGGAAGGTGTTCTGCTTTGGTGAACAAAGTGCGTCTACGTTGTCCTCTGAGGCTACGCGCGGTTGTCCGGTATGGTGATTGAGTCGTGGTAATCACGCAAGTAACTGGTGATTGGTGCCTCCCCGAACACTGCAGATTGATGGAGAATACGAGGGTTGGTTCAGTAGGCTTCGATCATTTGATCGAATCGGAGTTTCGGAAGGGTGTTCATTGTCCCCCATTTTGAGTAGGGCATAGTCGTGCACGAGTGAAGTCAGATTCTAGTGTCATGTGAGTGCTGTGTGTGTGCATCGCATTCGGAAAACGTATTACTCGTCTTGCCTCATGGGTTATTGGTGTTGTGTTGATTATGTAATCAAGTCATTATATTTTAACGTGAGTGTTCGATATCGATCGTATTGTCAATTCATAATAAAGTGGCACAAAGTACGAAACTATTTCTTGCGAGTCGATTTTTACATCATTTCCTAATTGTAAATGCTTTTCTTTCCGCCACTCTCCGAAGGCCAAACACAATTTCCGACATTTTTTATTTACGTATCGCTATCTTATTTTGTTACGCCCTACGCATGCGACACAAATTCAGAAGCGAAGAAAATTAAAGGTAGTGTGCCAGCTTTCCTGGACCGTATGGAGTTAATGGCCCAGATAAGGAGAACCGGATTTTTAGAACTTATCCATACCTTCAAAACTCATGGAAACGTCTTAAATTCTTCAAATTTTGAGTACCCCAGTGCGAAATTCGCCCCGACGGGTTGTCGGTCGTACCCCAACCACATTTCACACCACTATGAACAATAAATGCACACACTGAAATCGCTATTACCGATATGCTCATCCAATCAAGTTTCGATAAACCCGTTCATCATCATCTCCTGCGGTTTCGAACACGCCTGTTTGCCTAGGTGGTGCGGTAGACCGCGCCCAAAGCCAGGGCCCCGGTAACGTGAGGTAGCCGAGTCGGGGCAGCGTGCGCTGACCCAAGCCGGGGCCGCGCGTCCTCCCGGTGTCATGTGATAGCCCGGGGCCCTGTTTCACGGCGGAGCGCTGCAGTGCGCTGCGCGCGTCGGCGCGTTGGGTTTCCATGGCAATATCAACAAACTTCCCTCTGACGCTACGCTATGATGTCATCGCAAAACGCTAGCACCCAAGCGCCAGCACCATCAGCACGCTAGCAGCATTCGCACTCAAACCTCTGTTCTCTCTGTACTTGATTCTTTAGGACCTCTGTTCCAAACGCGATTCATTATAAGCTAACGGATCGCACGCAACGTCATTCAAGTGACGTCAGGGGCACGCCTCAGCTCCCAGCGCGCTGCAGCGCGCGCAGCGTCGGGCGGTGAAACAGGGCCCGGGGCTGCCCGCGGGGATGCGGTAGACCGCGCCCAAAGCTGCGGCCCCGGCTTGGGTCAGCGCACGCTGCCCCGACTCGGCTACCTCACGTTACCGGGGCCCTGGCTTTGGGCGCGGCTTCTGCTCATACTTTGTGGTGCGGTGGTGGTGCGTCGGGCCGCGCGCTCTGACTTCGGCCAAGAAAAATGCGTCAGCTGATCATTGTCATTTCTGCCACTTTCATGTGGTGAGATGGGGTCATAACTTTAGAGACGGCTGTTTCATATCAATTATTTTACATAAAATAATATTTCAAACCATAAATTAATGTTCGACAGCCAAATAAAAGAAATAATACCAATACAGGCTTACAGTTTAAGGCTCGACATTGTGTTGTCTACGATTAGACAGCTGATAACTCATTCCCGTACGTCGTAACTCTAAAATGACCTTTGCTTATTGTCACATGTGCGCCGCATTCGCGATTGTTGCCGACGCCTGTTTGCAGGTCAGCCCACTACAGTTGTTATACATATCGAAAAACGGATAAACTTTTAGGCGAAAAAGGCACTATTCCAGGCCCATTTTTTATTTTTTGCGATATTAGGTAAAAACAGAAGCTTCTTATCCTAGGAAAAATAAAATGGGAAATCTTTCAAAGGTGGCACACTACCTTTAAGAAGATCGTTTCCACTCCTCCGCACTCATATTGCCTCATTCGTTGTATGCACACTATATTCCATCATATTCTCGCACTTGAATACCACAAAATTAAACTGCAAAAATATTATTCACAAACACTGGGTGAAATGAAACTGATGCTATTGAAATACGTCATGATCGTGTTTCTCTCGTATCACGATCGTATTTATGCATGTCACTTAGTTTCATGCTTGAATATCGTTCAGTTCCACCTCTGACTACATCGACATCAATCGGCATTACTGTAGGGCGGATTTTCGTTCTTCGAAGTACGTCCTAGCAGGACGGATCAAATAGGACATACTTGGACGGATCATTTAGTAATTGAACGGTTCATATTTTGCATATAGTCATGGGACGGACTCCATGAGGACGGAATATACATTACTACTAGCGATGGCCTGTAGAGGCCGCGGCCGACTGGCTGGAACAGGACGGTGCACGCAGCTCGGCGAGGTCTGGTGCTGGCAACAGTCTGGCTCTATTAGAAGAGATCCACGGACTGTTGGTTCCGGTAGGAGTAAACACTTGGTTAAGCCTGTCGCCAACTGATGGGCTCTCACGAGAACAGGCCCGTTGTCATCTGCTGGTGACGTCCAGTTAGATGACCTGAAGCCAAACCGAGAAAAGCGAAATGTCACAATGGAAGATATCAGAATGTTCACCTAAGTGTTAATTTTTTGACCAACATACTTATTCAACCGCGCTGTAGTTTTCTAGGACCTCGATCACGGTACAAGCGACTTTTTCTGAATTTTAGGACATCCCACGTTTGTGCTACTTTTCAAACCGTCTATATAGGTACCTATGTAAATTAAAAATAAAACTAAGCCGAAGTTTAGCACATGACCGTTCCAAATCCAACTTACCATTATTCGTGGGCAGGAGACTGTTCCTGAACTGTGGGGCGAAGAGCTGGGTCTCTCTCGGCCCGTCTCCGCAGCTGATGTCTGTGTTATTGTTCAGCTCACAGCCGACGGATTCTTCCAGCGGTAGCTCCACCGTGGCAGCCACCTGGGGTTGGTATGGGTGGGTATGACACGTCACTACTCTGCTGTATCGGTTCATCGGTTTACACGTACTCTCTTCTAGATTACTAGTGACAAACAGGACCTTTTTGATGATAGGTCTGTGTGATCCTCATCCCTCATTGTGGTATCCCTCCCTGCAGGGCTCTATTTCGAGTGGTCACTTACTGCTATTTACGGCGCTGAACTTTGGCCTGCATGGCGCCTGCCTACACATTTCATGGTGTCGTTGATTTGTGGCGTCTCTTACCTCGGGTATGAAGTTGCAGAACTTCTGCTTGGTCTGCTTGTCTCCACGTTTCGTAGTCTCTCACCTCAGGTGTGAAGGTGCAGTAGTGGATGACGAAGCCGGGGTCGGCTGCCACCGGAGGACTGTCCGGTCTCTGCTCGTCTGTACCTTCCGTAGTGTCTCTCACCTCGGGTGTGAAGGTGCAGTACTGGACGACGAATCCGGGGTCGGCTGCCACCGGAGGACTGTCCGGTCTCTGCTCGTCTCTACCTTCCGTAGTGTCTCTTACCTCGGGTCTGAAGGTGCAGTACTGGATGACGAAGCCGGGGTCGGCTGCCACCGGAGGACTGTCCGGTCTCTGCTCGTCTCTTCCTTCCGTAGTGTCTCTTACCTCGGGTGTGAAGGTGCAGTACTGGATGACGAAGCCGGGGTCGGCTGCCACCGGAGGACTGTCCGGTCTCTGCTCGTCCTCCGGTGGAGAGGAACTCAGCCAGATTTCCTGGGACGGAGACGGTGTGTCCTCGCACAGCTTCAGCTCCAGTACCTGTCGGAGAGACCATTCATTGTTCGGTCGTGCGCAGCTCTGCACAGGTGGCGAGACGCTTTACAAGAATTAACATTGCATTTAAAAGCCGGGTGTAGTTCTTTAAACTCACAATCCGCATTCCTTAGTTTGCTCTCTATTCCCATGAACATTTTTCCGCTGCCTTTCTTCAAACGACATTTTTACCCCACTGCACCCCACTCTCGCCACTCCACCCCGCCCCTACCGGCACTAACCGTCGCGTCTGCGGCCACGCCGCTCTCCCTGTCTCCACCGCCGTTGGCACACTGTGTCGGTCCCGACGGCCTCCCCATCCTGGCGGCGGTCTGATTGCGTCGCACTCGACGACCGTCGACGTCGGCGAGCGTCCACAGGTGGCCGGCGCCGCTGCCGGCCTTGCAGCCCTTGCGGAAGTACGGGTTCATGGAGAGGTTGTGACGCACGCTGTTCTTCCATCGGTCGTCACACGACTTGTAGAAACTGAAATGACTCCTGCGATGGAGATGGGGGTGGGGTTGGGGTGGGGCTGTAAGTTTTTTTGGCTGGGCTAGTACTTTGTTTTATGCTGTTGCACTGCATTCGATGTTTTTAACGAAACAGTTTTACTAACACATTTTACACTTATTAGGATGCGATACTCTGACAACCCATGCTTTTCAAAACGTTGTTGGAACATTATGTGCATTTTCAGCGGCATTACATTTTCGACAAATCGATCGAACGTCCGTGGGGGCGCGTTTTTATCATCTACTCTAAGCATCTGCACCACTCATTTCCGAGGTCATGCGTCTTCCTCACTGAACATGTGACCCAATGACACAGTGACCTTCAGCCACGCGACCAGACCTACACGGTCACCACCCTGACTCCGCGACCCTTATCTCGCGCCCTTCCGGTGTTACGTTATTCCCGAATCGAGTCGGACTAGTTCCGGCGTATTACGCAGTCAACAGCGGCTGGTGTTAGTGAACGCAGCGAGTTTGACAGCTTGTGCCAATATTTGTTTGTTGCGTTCTCAAGCAGATGCTTTGAGGCCGATTTAGATGCTTTGAAGCTTTGAGTGATTGTTGTGTGTCGGGTGGAATTCAATGTGTCTGGCGGAATTCAACCGGAAGCTGACCGGAAGCTCACCGGATGCGCACTGAAATCACAGGAAAATATTCATCTGCGATCAGGCGAAGCTGAGTTTAAGTCATCTTCGATTTGCGTCAAACTACTAGGAGCTGGAAAATGTATCGGAACTTCTAAAAGCTTACTAAAACTGCGTTGAAGTTGACCGGAAGCGCTCATAGTTGTCCATATAACCGTTGAACAGCTCTCGAACGTCTCATTCGGCTGCTTCAGTTCTCTGCCGTCTCACGTGCACCAACTCTCGTCTGCTCTGCGCCAGCTCAGACTTTCGGCTTCTGAGCCAGACTCAGGTCAGTGCTGGTATCTTCTACACAACATACAGCGTTATTGCTGCTCCTGCCAGCATGGCGCTACCGCGGCTGTTTGCTTGTCTGCTGTTGGCTCTCAGCTCCGCCCAAGGACACAGCACCGAGAGCGGCTACCACAAACGCGTCCGCAGGGGCGACCTGAGTGCCGGTGACCTCGTCCAAGCCGCCGCTGCAGAATTTGAGTCCCGTGCTCGAGACGCAGCGGCCGCCTCTACCGCCCAACTGGAGGAGCGACTGGCCAGCCTGGAGAAACGCCTGGACGAGCAGTCGACGCTGCTGGAAGAGGCGTTGTCCGCCTTGGCTAAGATTTCTGACAACCTGTCTGGATTACAACCGGGTGGTGTGGGCTCAGGACCTCACCCCTCTGATCGTCCCAGCCCAACGGTCGGCCGTGTACTTGGCGAACCGTGTCGCGTCAACTCTGAGTGTTCCGACCTTCTCGCCAACACAGAGTGCGGAGACGGCGGTCGGTGTGTGTGCGCCGGTGGTCTGCTGCGCGGTCCCGGAGAGACCTGCCTGCCGGCGCCCTGGCTCGGAGGGGAGTGTCGCACCGACCACCACTGTGATGTGCGCACACCGCACGCTGTGTGTTCCGCGGAATTGACCTGCCGCTGTCCGGCGGACATGATGACGATTCAGGGCAAGTGTCGACCGTTCCCGCGCCTCTCCGAACACTGTCTTTCAGACGCCGACTGCCGACAGGCCACGAAATACGCCGTGTGCTCACCACTCACCCGACGCTGTGTCTGTCCTCGGGGGTCGTGGAACTTCAACAACATGCACTGTCGGCTGGGCGTGCCGAGCGGCCGTCCATGCCTCTACGATCGCGACTGTAGCACCATGCAGAAGATCTACACCTGTATCGGAGGCGTCTGCCAGGTGCGTCGTTGCGACCCGCACTCCGGCGCCTCCAACCGCTTCAGATTAGTGGGCGGCAACAGCTGCAACAACGGCTACGTCGAGTTCACCTACGACTCGGGCCAGAACTGGACATTCCTCTGCGACAGTAACTGGACGGGTGCCGATGCCACTGTGCTCTGTAGCTACATGGGGTTCGACTATGGCCATCCGATGACGGTCAGCTCACGAGCACGAGCAGCCAGCACGAGCAACGTGACCCGCTTCCTCTGGGTGGAGGATCTCGAGTGTGAGGGTACGGAACCCAGTCTGACCATGTGTGTCTGGAAGGAGGGACGCACCTACTGTGGTGTGGACGAAGTGGCCGGTGTTGAGTGTTTCTGGAGGCCGACCGAGCCGCCCACCACCGCGCCGCCGCCGCCCACGGAAGTCGCCGCCGCTGAAACGAGCGTCCTCTCTACCGACCCTGCTATCGCCGCCGCCATCGCTACCGCTGACGACAGTGAGAGTGTCGAATATGTTACGGAGGCGCTGGATGTCTGAGACCGTGGCTCGGCTGGCCGCTTGGAAGGTTTGCGACTTTATTTCTAAGTAATATATAACTTGGTATATGTAGGTATATGCAATGGCTCGCCGAGCCAGTTTTGTGTCTCCTCGAGCCGGAAATGAGTGATTCGGTGTGTGGCTGTGAGGGTGCCGTCATTTTATCGCGCTTCATTTACGTTTGTCCATCATAAGGAACATTGTTGTGCCCATTATTTAGACCTCTTAATCAGAGCTAGCTGAACTTTTGGATTACGTGGTGCTGCGATTTGGCATGTACGAAGCGATGGCTTTGATCTTGCAGTGCAATGGGTGTTATCTCTATGACGTTTCATCATTATGGCGTAATCATTACTCGGACATCACATCTGTGAAGGGTACATGCTGATATTTGCTCGTTTTATGAACGGTGATTGAAGAATCTTAGCTTTTACAAATTATTGATCATTTTTATTAGCGATTACCAGCTCGCAAAGGCTTCCCAATAAACTCCTAATTAGCCTTATGATCGATGTAAGTAATGGTGATATTATTGCAAAATCGTCGGCATGCATAAAACTGTTTCCATTTCTAGGAAACATGTCGCGGAAGCCTCTAAAAACTTATAGGGTTTGTTTGCGGGTCATAACGTATCGTTTCATCCGCCTTCTTATATACTTCACCCCGGAGACTCCAGCCCAGGAAACAATGACAAATGCTGTCCATAACACCTAACGCTCCCGTGACGTTCCGTCTTATTTACTTGACCGTAAATGACTAATTCGGCTCGTCAGCCGACATCCGTTTTTGTTTGCGGCAGACCGACGCGTGCCGATCGGTGTAATTGGCGTCAATTGCCGAGGGGATTGTTGTGGTCACAAAGACAGCGTGTGTGGTGTGTGTGGTAATGGCTCCGACTGCGGTGACGGGGGTGCTCGCACGTCGGCTGGATACGAGTGATTGGCGCAATATGCATCGGTCAGGCTGAAATGACATGGGGGGTATGCTAATTCGACACCATGGGTCAAATTAAATTTATCCGCTTTTCAGATGGTGATTATCACTTCCTCTAACGTTCAGCGGATTTGGCCGAAATGTGCGTCATGTGACGCCGTTATACGCCATGCACTGTGACTCCCAGGTGTAATTAGCACATTTGAAACACATGTTCCTCCTCCGGATTACAAACGCAGTCGATATGACTAGGAGTTCCAATCTATAGGGATCCCCTCGGCTGGCTCCTAAATCCTAAGTCGAGGGTCCCATCCGGCCTCCACTCCACCTGGCTCGCGGGGTTGCGGCCTGCTCATTGATCGAAGCACGGCCGGCGGCGTGGCGGCCGTGTCTGGCGGTGCCATCCTCCGTGCCGGCCTGCCGACCATCCCCGCATTGATTCACTCCTGACTGGGAGTCGGGAGTCGCTACTGCTGAATACAGCCCGCGACACCCGTCCGCCCGCTCGACGGCTGGTGGCACAAGGCGGCAGCGGCACCCGGGAAGGACGAGAAAGGATGTCGGATGTGTTACTACTCACATGGCTAGGGACCAAGATTACTTTACGAATGGCTAGGGACTCCATTCCTCGAGTGGATGCTGGATAGGTAGCCCAGGCCAATAGTAATTGCCGAAACTGGTTTGATGACTTGTAACTGGCTTGGAGGCGTCAATTTTGCGTATACGCCTCAGGTACTTAAACCAAGGTCCTGTAAGTTCGATGGGCTGCTGAGCTTCGCTCATTTCTTTTCTGCTCGCCTGTGCAGCATCAACTCGTAATTCTGTCATCCTCCTACGGTCATGGTATGCTCTTCGTGCGACCGGTGCCCTTCAGAACCGCTCCCACTGTCACGCCATCCGGTGAAGTCCTCACCATCCGATGTCCGATATCAATAAGCAGTTACTGGACAATTTTTAACTGGCCGCGGTTACCGGTCCACTGTGTCAGCCGCAGGTGAAGGGTCTGAGTAGGTTCACGGTCTGCCGAGCGGATTGGGTCAGATCCAGGTGTGTGGGTAGGGGAGGGAGGGGGACAGCATGTAGGTACCTGGGGGACAGCACCGGCCCGATGGCTTGCAGATGCAGATGCAGACAGAACAGCTGATGGGGGCGGCGCAGGATGTGTGGTAATGGAAGTATCTTCGCGTGGACTGTCTGATGGCCAGTGGCTGTTGAGCTTCGTTAGTTCCAGGTGCATACAATAATTGTTGAAACGCGAGAGCCGTTTAGCCCTTTGGTAGTACCCACCTAAACTCTACGAACTGCAGGGATGAGCATGTGTTCGGTAAGCCTCAATGCCCTTGCAACGTTCAGCAAGTTATGTTTCCCATCTTGTAATGAAATAACCTATCAAATCTAATGAGTTGATAAACCCGAACCTACGATAATATCCTCCCTACCTACACAGACGCAGCCCCCGTCAGCCCCCGTGTTATTAACCCTGACTGCTGCTCATTTGGCTCGCCCCGTGTGTCGGCCGGCCCGGCGCTAACTCAGCCACCGGCCGGGTGTCGTGATCACTGAACAGCTGTGTGTTGTGGTCACGCAGGTTGGCCCGGGCGGCCGCCGTCACCTGTCCCGGTGGCGGACGGTGGGTGGCGGGCCTGGATCGAGCTTCTAGCGTGGGCTGTTGGATGGATGATGGAACGGGCTGGTTCGGCGATTGGGATAGCGTGGAACTTGAAATGGGTCATTCTTTGGATAGGACAGATTGGTTTTGGTCTGACAGTGAAATATCAGTGGAAACTGTAGTATGGAATCAAAGCCGACTGGGTGGTTCCTTTTCTTTGCGCGTGGCCACCAAGGTATCGTTTAGGTTTAGTACCATATCATAGGCACTGCCACCGCGCCGCCCCAAGCCCTCTGCACCCGTTTTTAGACACACCCAGCCAGTACGGCAGCCAGGCTCCGCCTCTGTCGTCACTCACGTGATCCATCTGTAGATTCCTGAGACGGTGAGCTGACCCTCCTCCAGTAGGGCCTGCTCGATCAGCTCGGTGTAGGTGAAAGGAGGCTTGCCGGCGTCCCGGCTACACGGCACTGCAGGCGAGAAAAGACAGTGAACGGTCGGCAAAAGCATTGGAGATGCAGCCTGCTGATAGTGAGACTGGTATTACAAGTTCTTGGGGTTTGCGATTTATCTCTTGTAATGGAGCTCGAGTTTTCATAGACTGTTAATCTCCCTTGACATTTGAATTGCTTATCAAAATCCACGCAGACGAATTTTGGGCAAAAGTACGTTGCTTATATGGAAGGAGCTGGTGCTCGCTTCTTACCTTCGTGTGTTCTTTCCTGGTTCATGATGACGGGTTCCTGCTCCACCATTTGTAGGTTTGTTGCATCCCACCGGGTCTGCGGCGCACACACTTCCTGCTGCTGCTGTTGCTGTTGCGGTTGTTGCTCTGGGTGGTGATGCTGGCGGCAATGGTGTTCATACTGCTGCTGTGGCTGATGCTGAGTTTGGTGCTGAGGCTGACGCTGCTGGCTATGATTATCATGATGATGCTGATAGCGCTGGTAGTGCAGGTGACGTTGCTGCTGCTGCTGATGATGACGATGATGTTGCTGCTGCTGCTGATGCTGATACTGGTGATGGCTCTGGTACTGCTGCGTCTGCGGTCCTCCACCGCTCCCTCCCGGACTCAGCAGACTATCCAGTCTATAATCCAGCAGCCACATCAGACTGGCGGAGTCTGAGGTGTCGGGCTCGGCTCTCCACACTCCCGTCTGTCGCTGGCAGAGCGGACCGGCGGCCGGTAGCGGAGACCACTCTGCCGCCGTCCTCCCCACACAGGAGTCCAGTGGTTGCCGGCCGGCACACCGGCTCTCTGGGGTGACGTATACCGTCTGCTGGGTGTCCAGGTCACACAGCAGCTGACTGGCCATCGCGGGAAGCGCTGAGACAGATCACCGATTTACACCACCCGTCTTCAATTGTCACTATCAAGATATCTATCTATCAGCTGTGACTAACCCTGTCCTCGCAACACTCTCCACTCTCCACACACACCTTCACTTTCTCGTCAAGCCTCCGCGCTCTCTAACTACCGCGTCCAGTCAGTCCCCTATTCTCTCTCCTAGTCTGACTCAAAGCCTACCGGTGAGCCCACGCCCCGACTATGCAGCGGTGCGGGCCAACAGCAGCGGCGCCGGTGACTGGTGGGGCGATGGAGGCGGGGCTACCTCCGTCCACTGGGTGCCACGCACCGCCCCACGCCAGAAAGACGCCGCCCACCGGTGAACAAAAGCACCGCCCACAATCACATGGACGGTAGTCGGTACATACGACAGTGTGGCCCGTGTCAAGTGGGGCTCGTCTTTCGTTTTTTAATGTTTTGTAATATTTTGGATGTCATTCGTTTCTTCTTGCGTCCAAGGCGGTATTTAAAAGACGAGGGAACTCGAAGAGTCATTTTATCGATGTTCGTATCAATATTCGATGTTTCTTTTTCATTTTTTCTCCGTTGAAGACTGATTGTGCATGAGAAAACGAAGATGATTGCCTTTCCCCTACATTTCTATCACGGGGACAACGGGGACTTATGAAGTGGATATATGTTGAATAGCTACCAAGTAATGCTTATTTGAGAGCTGGAAAGGTCGACGGTGAGGCCATGAAACTGATAAACCCGCTAACACCGACAAGTAGCCTCGACAAAATCAATTTCTCCGCTCATTCGCTCTCCACTCGCTCATCAAAACGCCATCTGATCGTAGAAAGTTTATTTATTATGAACATAGCAAAGATAAGTGTGGTCTGCATCGAAATAGGCACGTCTTCCGCCGCCTCCAATCAAGAATGGGCTGCTGCTACAGAATCAGACAAATGAATAATAAGTAAGATGAAAAACACCTGCGCACACAACGCGAAAATAATCATTCACTAAGTCGCAACGAGGTCTGTCAGAGCACGGCGTAGGGATAAATCTCGGCTATTCATATTTCTGACGCTAAAGCGAGGTCTACATGCCCGCATTTGCCATAGAGATGAACGATGTATAAGTACTATCAATTGTTTCCTTGCATTTATGCTCATATTAGTGCTCTCAGCTCTGGCACTTGCTCTCACTTGCGACCTATATTTCCTCGCCAGGACGCGCTACTGAGCATATTCGGTACCACCTAACAAACCCACGGACAGCACAAAAGCAGTCCCCACGACTTTCACGACTCATCCAAGCTATTCTCCAAACAGCCACTGCGAGCCTAGACTACTGCTCTAATGGCAAACGCTGCTCCGACAGCTGATTCCTCACACAACCCTGGGCGTCGTCTTTGGCTCGCCTCTTCGCGACGCCGCGCCCTCACCCTAGACTAGTCGGCTGGGCGGCGCCTCCGTGGCGCCCCCTCTGTAGATGTCGCTGCGGCCTCAGATGGGCATCGCAGCACCCCCGCGGGCGGCGGCCGGCTGCTGCGGCGTGCCCTCCTCCAGGTCCATGGGCTTCTCGGCGAACTGAATGTCGGGCTTGTCGGGCAGCGGCTCGCCGGTGTAGTAGGCGCCGTCCATGTGCTGCGGCTCCTTGACTCCCTTGACTCCCTCGCTGCTGAAGGTCGTGTCTACGTCACTACTGGAGAGCTGAGAGTCGCCGCCCTTGCCGCTGACCCCGCTGTCCGTGTCACCACGCTGATGCGGACCGCCGCGCAGAGGCATGGTCTCGTCTCGGACCGTCGGCCGGCCCGGGTCACTGCCCACGGTCGAGGCCGGTTTGTAGGTGTACGGGGTAGCCGGCGCCACGCGGTTCTGCGGCCCGTTGTTGACGGCGTGCATGTAGAAGAAGGTGAGAGCCACCACCACGGGGATCAGGATGGAGAGGGCGATACCGGTCTGGATGCCGGCGTACATCATCTTGTACTGGTTCTCACCTGTGGGAGGAGGTGATGCGTCATAACTCATATCGAGATCACTGGGTGAGATGCGTGTGATAAGCAGGGCATAAATGCGCGAATTTCCCGGATCAAGTTTCTATTCCAATCGAACTTCCAACTTTGGACTGTGAAATAAGGTCATTTTTTCTGGTCGGTATCACTTGCTTTAGACATCAAACCCGAACACTACCGCAGCAAGCCTCAACACCAGCCTCCTTCCTAACCCCCGCGGGACACACCGATCCCTTTGCAATCTCTTCCCCAAACAATAAGTGACCGCTCTCACCCCTTCTCTGCGGACAACCCCCTCTCGCCCCTCCGCCAGGTACTCACCGATGCAGCTGACCTCGCCGTCCTCAGGCCAGTTCCAGTCTCCAGAGGCGTAGCACCAGCGGCGGGCCTCCCCGACCAGGATGTACCCCGGGTCACACTCGAACTTCACCATCGTGCCCGGCGTGAACGCGAACGTGTTCTTGCGCCCGTTCTGAGGCGTCGGCAGCTGACCGCAAGAGGTGACTGAAAGGAGAGGAGAAAGCGGGGGCGTTTGTTCAGCATTGGCAATGGTGCATTGTAACATCAAGCGTCTCTAAGACATCGCGTATTTGCCAGACAAAATGTGGATGACTTAAGTTGACTGAGCGTTGTCGATGTCGTTTCGATCGTCTTATTCTACAAAACTTTCAGCCAATCCGGTGGCTAGCCGCAAACGGCCGCTTGTAAACGTCTGCGTTCGACATTTATCAATATTAACGTCATTGTTCAAGATTCGTTTGAGGATGAGACGATAAGAAGAAGCTCCCTATCCGGTTGCAGCATTTCCGCTGCAGCAGCACTCACTGGTTTGCAGGCCAATCGACTTGACGTTGACGAACTCGTCCTGGTAGAACTTGGTGAAGACGGCCACGTCCCGGCGCTCTGTCATGATGAAGTCGTAGGAGCATTGGTAGGAGTCTCCGCAGACGCGCTTCACTTCATCGGCAGTTAGGGTGCTGAAAGACATTTGAGATATTAGAGACGAAAAGCACAGAGGTGTGGTAGAAGGCTGACCAAGAAAAGTTAAGACGTGTATGAAATGAACAGTTGCAAGCTTTCAGAAGTGCTCTTGGATAACAAGGCAGGGTAATTCAAGAAAAACAGAAATCCACGTAAGGAAAAATACGGAGAGCAAAAGATGAATGAAACGAGGCCGATCATGAACTTATATGACGAATTCATATTACCAAGGACGAATAAAAAGGTCATATCCCTGAGGGTCAGACCAGTTCAACGAGCAATGCTTGTACAAAGCTCACCTGTTTTCGGGGATATCCGGTATTTGGTCAAAGACGGGCAGGAAGTCTGGATCGTAGTAGTTGCTGGAAGACCGTCCATTCTCGTGGTAGAAGAGGGACCCTCCTCTGTATGGGTCCTCCTTGTCATCCAGAAGCCCTGGGAACGAGACAGATGAAACGATGAAAAACGAAAACCAGGTAAAACACATAAATTGAGAAAAACGTATATACCGAAATTATGTAATAGGACGGCTGGTGCCCAAGTTTTCAGGTGGGAACGTCTTTTGGTTACGGGCACCTGAACCTTATGGGTGATCAGTGCCCTCAACGCTAAAGCTTGAAGTTTATCTAATGATCTATCGACGACGACAGTAAAGTTATGATAGCTTACATTGTAGACCGAATTCGGAGTAGAGGTTTTCCATGTTGTTGATGTCGACAGATACGATTCGGCCGTCCGGAGTCACCAGGTCATCGGACGCGTCGTTTGACCAATTTCCAAACAGGCCGGTCGTTTGATTCTGCGGAGAGACAAAGCGCGATAGGATAATAAAAAAGCCATTTACTAGCGTTTTCCTTTTCTTCTGCATCAAATGCTTCAACTGTGAACGGTGAACGCAATGATATAACCTTGAAAATAAAAATCCTGCATGTTTTTTATGCACATCATGCATAATATCTAAAAAGGCACAATCTATCGGCGGGCCCCTTTTTTCATCAAGCCACACTCCATGTTAAGGATTATAACCATAGCCAGTCTTATCTCACCATGAACGTGAGCGGCAGGTAGAGTCGCGCAGCCATCTGTCCCTGGTTCTCCAGCACCTCGATCCCGGCTCCCGACTGGAACAGGACCACCACCTGCGACTGGTTGTGGATGTAGGTCGGCACGTACACCAGCATACCTGCCAGATGGGGCACAGGTCAGAGGTCAGGTCAGGTCAGGTTCACCTGCGAGACTTCACACACCCTGATTGCGGTCTTCGGGTGAATGAATCAGGGCGCAGTCTCCAGGCTTTAGAAACTGATACCACGGTCCCGGCAGGACGTAATCATTTGGTGCTCCAGTATGAAACGAACGTGAAGAGAAACGGTCATGTGAATTTACCTCTGAAGATCTGCATCTTCTCCGGGTATCGGTCGAAGTAGAGGTACTTCTGGTTGACGAGCACGTTCAGTTTGTAGCGCCACTGGGCCTCAGTCGGCCGCAGACGAATCTCCACCGTCGTCGAGAAGTTGTCACGAGCTGAAAATGATGCCATTGTTAGTCTGTGAAACCAGGAAGGCCATGAAAATACCAAAAAGAGTCACTTCGGCAACCACACATTGACTGGCAGCGTTCCTCAGAAATATCGCCCGGGTAGACTTCACATTCTGTAACTTATTATCATGGCACCTCCTATTACCATAGCACACACATTTCTTCATCTCTCTGGTCGAGTGCAGGATGGTCCTCCTTACCTGCGATGGCAGTCAGCTGGGTGGCCAATACCGGACCTCTCTCGTTGTCAGGCGCCTGCTCGAAGCGGCCCTGCACGTCGAGCTTGTTGCGGTCCGTGTTCACGCGGGTCAGGACGTACTCGCCCTTTCCGTTGAACGTGTACTGGACGTCGTCGAACGTGTAGAAATGCGGGTCACCGAACACGGTGGCTGGGGGCAGGAGGATGGTTGGTGAGTTTTTAAGGCACAGACTTCATAGGATCGGTTAGGATATTAATTATTATCTCACCACTGAATCTTTTGACATATTTAGTCGATATAATCTACATGTTTCTTCTCAGCTGACATAATATGCGGTCACCCCGTCATCTATCCTTATGCTGTCATCTCACGCCGTCCCGTGTTCTGACCTGCCGAGGGCGGCTGGTAGCCGACACAGTCCTGGGAGGCCCTCCTCTCGAACCGGAAGGTGGTGCACCCCTGGCTCTGCTCCCCCTGCCACCGACAGCACGAGTAGAACGGAGCCACGTCGTGGTACCAGTGAGACAGCGACGGCATCTGCGGGGCAGGTCAGAGCAACACGAGGTCATGTCCTCTGCTCCGCAGAATGAAACATGCTTAGCGACCTGTTGATTCGTCAAGCAGAATCAACCACATTTTTCACTATACTGAGGACACATCATCGCCAGCACCGACTCGTCCTCTACAAGATCCTAGTCTAGTGAACATCCTGCAGTGGACTTAGGTTAAAGTCTGTGCTTTTGCCGCTTTGTCCCACCTTGTTGGCCTCGTAGAAGGGCCGCATGCCGAGGTTGTGGGCCCGGTGCGGGTTACCGCCCCACATCGTGTCCGAGGTCATCATCAGGAAGCCGTCAATGTCGTAACAGCACTGCTGACCGGCGCCGTCCGCGCTGAAAACGAGGGGCGTTTGTATAGAATATCAGGCAATCGGAGGAACGTACAGTAGGTAGGGCAAAGAATATTGACATGAGCGTTTCGGGGAAACGAAACAGAACATATTCCTTATTAGGGTGAACTGTTGTGGTACATTTCCATTGAAAAGGAACTCAGTCTTTTTTCTCTCAGCTTCCCCATAGTTTCCTTTGCTCACACGACCCAAAATAGCCGACGACCCGCTAACATTTTAGCATGCTCCCCACGCAGTAATAATGCTGATCTTCGTCGCATAGTGTCCTTACTCACTTCACCATTCCGGCGCGGACGCAGTGGATGGCTCCCTTGTGCTCGTCACAGGCGGTGTTACCGTCCATGTCACACGAGAAGTCGGGAACGAACAGACCCTTGTTGGCCACCGCTTGTTCCACGCGGCACGGGCACCGGGTCACCTGGGGTCAGAGGTCAGGGTCAATCAGAGGTCAGAGGATTTATGTTCGTTCCATGCAACGCAAGCAAGGGGGCATATGAGGCGAAAATCAAGTCGGCTCAAAGACTGAAAGGCTACGAGACGGAATGTTTCACTTCACTTTCAGATCCATGATCTTTGGTGTGAATCGTGATGATATTGATCACAAACATCTCGTGTCGCACGATAAACTATATAGAGAAGTCCTTGCATTGATCTATGATAAAGTTTGTCATGTAAATTGTAAAAAATGTCCCATACCTAAACAATTAAACTTTGCTTTAGTAGGAACTTCAACCTTTAAACGTCGATCGCCTTGCCAGTCACTGAATACACTGCTATTATAAAAATAGCACGCCTTCGTTCACTCACCTCTCCGGCGAAGTGTTTCAGGTTCCTGTCGTTCTCGATCCAGCGGTTGCAGACTCGCGCCGCCCACTCGGAGCCGTAGACGCGTTCCCACTGCGGTCCAAAGTACCAGGCCAGCGGGATCGGCTGACTCCACAGAACTCTGTAGGGAGAACATAGGGGAACGGCATGAACTCTTACAATATGGCGGAATATTCTGACTATAGTTTATAAGTAAGCCTAGCCCGCGTAATGCTTTTCAACATACAACATTTAAAATCACGTTCAAACAGCAACTTTTGTTGGTGATCCTCAAATTACGTGTCTTTTAATGGTCGAACTATCGGATGCTATTATTCCCTATTCAAGCAGCCCTAAGGCCCAAGCATGCCCTCCGAACGTCGCAAAACAGGAGGATGGCGTCGTGGGTACTCACGGCGAGGTCTTCAGTCCGGAGAGGTAGGTGCCGGGGTTGGTCAGGTTGATGTGCAGCAGGCCCACCTCGATGTCCAGATAGTCCCAGTTGTCGTTACCCACAAAGTCGGCCGTGGTCAGGTCACTCTCGCCGTCGTTGGCTGTCTCCTGTGAGTATCGACAGGCATGCAATGAGACACGTGACGGGAAAGAAAAAAGAACGAGCAAGTCTCACAACAAAGAGCTAGGGAGGGGTCATGTAGTCCTGGTTAACTGACCGTACGCTCTGTATTTTCGAGTGCTTACCTACGAACGCTATTATATGAGCAATCCCAATTTTTTATACTTTGACGTATGTATTCTATCAGACTCCACCCATTCATTTAGTCTTCCTCCAAATTATTATTTTCTAAATAAGCATTATTGTCCCTTTCCCTCCAAAACTGTCCCCGCTCCCTGGTCTCTCACCATCAGTGTGTCGATGTAGAGCAGCTCTGGGGTGTTGGTCGACTCCCGGTAGCCGTACAGGGAGATGGTGACCTTGGCGCTCTGGTCCATGGTCAGGTTGTGCCACAGCCACTGCAGGTGCAGGATGCCCGGGTCGGCGATCTGGTAGTCGTCGTTGGCGAACATGACTCCCTCGGCGGACGTCAGAGGCGTCTCTGTTAGGGAGAGAGACATGGTGGTCAGTGGTGATTGGGTGAAATACATAAGAACTCACCGACATTGCAAACGGAATCACAAGAAAGTCAACCACCTTCATCCAGGAAATGAATGGATTTTGCATGAAATCGAGGAAAAAAATCTTCCATTTTCACTTCCATCCCGGCCTGACCTCATTTCTGTGACCCACTGAACTAACCGACGTAGTACTGTCCCTTCCACAAAGGTCCTTCTCCCATATCTGAATCATCCCGAATAATCCCTCATCCACTAACCGACGTAGTACTGTCCCTTCCAGTAGTAGGGTCCTCCGTCGAGAGACACGGCGATGTCCACGAATCCGGTGGCGAACAGGCGCGGCTGCACGCAGAAGGCCGTGTTGGTGTCGCGCACCACACCCTCCACCTCTCGGTCGTAGAAGCGGCACTTGACCAGCGTGTTGGGGCCGAAACACGGGCCGGAGATGTTGACCAGGTTGCCGCCCAGCATGTTGCCCTGCTCCGGTGCGAAGACCAGTGGAAGGTTCGAGCCGTCTGGGAAGGGAGACGGGTTAGTCAAAAAGATACAGAAAACTTGTGGTCTTGTGAATACGGCACGTAATTGCTCTATATCGGCACACATTTTCATATTTTGTAAACCGGTCTTCTCATTTACCTAATAAACCTGAAGGCTAGATATAGCTCTTCGAAGAAAGATAGAACAGCATTAAACTAAAAGCACTCAGAGGCACGCAATATCTAATACAGGCAGCTCCGCCGGCCAGAGTCGGACGCCGAACAGACGTCCAGCCAGTGGCACGCCCAAAACAAATACACATGTCTCGCTAACGTGATAGTGACAAATGCCGGGGACAAAGGGCTGTCTGTGCAGGACAAGTGCAAGAGCCTGCATGTGGCGTTTGGATGACGCACAATCATTCTGAGTCAATGTCCCATTGAGGTCAAATGTTATTTTTTCAATTACGCTCAAGCTGGAACTTATTCGACAAGATACACTTGTTTTTTTTTAATACAAATTTTGATACGACAAAGGAAAAAGGCACAGGTAACATTCAAAGCACAATAAGTTGAACGACCGACATTTGACGACAATCAAGCCAGCCAGCACTAGTTATCTGCTTAGAATTATCTGCGCCAATGGCAAAACCCGTCGAGTACGTACAGAGTTCGTGTCGACAGTTGCCGGCGAGGATTTTCTCGTCGACTCGGAATATGTGCCGTCCAGGGAAGCCGTTGGCCATGCCGGTCGAGGTCAGGTCACGGATGTACATGGTCTGGGAGTACGGCGTGTACGGGTAGGCACTGCTGCCGTTACCGGCGTTAAAGCCCACCTGTGAAATGGACATGGCGGTCATGTGACGGTATTTTAGTTAAATGTACAATTTGTTTTACGAAGGATTTCATATAATTCGGCGTAATGTATAAGAGGTTCATATCAGAGACCAACCAATATAAATGCTTAAACTATTTTAGTAAGACCGAGAGACCAAGTTTCTAGTTATCTCAAAAGCAGGCAAGCTTTGGCTGATTTTGAGATGCCTCATGCAAGGATGTTCTCTTCCTGAAACCAGCACTCGCATATGCCAGGTTGCCACTTTGTCTCCCCCCATCCCATCTCCCCCATTACTCACATAGGCGGGGATGCCACCCTGTCCCTCGTTGCCATCGCCGCCCGCCTCTGTGTGCGTGGTCCAGCCCATGTGCAGGTAGTTGAAGATGGCATAGGAGCGCACCTCGTCTGTCGCAACCATCAGCTGGAACGTGTTGGTCTGACGGCAGAGGCATCGGTCAGAAGGGCATCAGACAGCGAAAATCTTACACTGAAAGGGCATAGTTGGCGGAGGCTCTGCAAACGCGCTACAATGGAGAATTCAGCTCTGCAGTTTCCCTTTCCTAGCGATTAAAAATTAAAATCATCAACCGCTTACAGGGAACAGGGACAACTCGGTATGTACAGGGAAGGGACAACTCGGTTTGAGAATTAGGTATGCGAAATGATACCGATATATCAAGCATAATTTAAAACGTACAGGCAAAGTCCCGACCAGATTCCCAACGATTGGAGGCATTTGCTACAGACAGACAGTTAATGCCCAGAATGCACAGTCAATGCTATCATTTATCGCCCTTCGACGCCCCACCCCGCTTCAAAGTCGTGGCCGGGGCGGAGTGACCTGCCTGGCCCCTCGGGTCCCTGACAGACGGTGTAAACAGTGGCTAACGTTCGCAGCCGCCGCCCTTTCGGTGAGGGTGTGAACACGCCTCTACCACTGATGGATTGGAATGTCTCGTCTGATGTACGCGTGTTAAAACAATGATTTAGAGCGGAGAGGTAATGGAATGAAATGCACTCTACTTTGGGAAGAACGAGCTTTTGTTGAGTTAATCGTACCAGTCATTTCTCATCAAATGTCAACATTGTTTGGATGGCTGGATCAACAGTGTGTCAGGACCGGCAAGGTACAGTGAATTATGCACCCATCGTGAATATAATTTACTACAGGCGTGGACGTCTAGTGTCTAGAAGAGGTATGCGGTGTATTTTTTTTTTCAAACGTGCGCACAATCTTGTCTTTGGACCACACTGTCTTTCCAGGATATAACCAAAACAGAAAAGTCGCTTGGTAAACCACTCTTCATTCTAAACAGCTTCTTAACCAGCTTAATTAGGGCATAGAGACAACTGAACTTCCACAAGGCACACTACATCCCCGCCCCATGACTCACCACTCGTCGGGCTCGCGAGTTTGAGTTTCCTCCGTTGAACGAAACGTTCTTCCATGTGGTGATGATAACGTGTTTGGGTGTGAAGGCCTCAGCTCCCACAATGGCCTCACGGATGTCCCATTTCGCCCGCTCGCGCAGCTCCACACCGAACTGGTCCCGACGCTCGTACAGGTCACGCTCAATCCTGCCGGCGTGGTAAACGGGTAGGACAGGTCAACTCTGGTCAGCGATGAAGATTGCAGTCTGGGATTGACGCTGAGTGTGATGAATGTCACGCATCTCGTTTTTTAACATTTTTTTGTATGTGAATAGCAAGAAAAGACCTGCAAGTGGTGCACGGTCTGTGTACCAGCACGCCTTATCGAGAACGTGAGGTGATAACAAAATAATTATGACAGAAGCATGTCAATAAGACATTTTACTAACAAATGTCTTGTCATTTTTACATGTCTTATGTCATTTCATCAGACTGTGACATTTGACATCAAATTTCAAATGTCACAGTCTGACCTACCACTAAGCGAAGTTGAAAAACAGTTCATCATTCCCGCGACCTATCTGCTCCTCCCGACACACTGACTGACCTGTAGTAGACTCCTGGCCGCCGTGTGTCGGTCTCCTCGCCTCCGATCTCTCCGATGACACACTTGCTGTAGAAGGGCCCGATGAACGAGGGATCGTTCTTGACCGGCCAGTCCGGCTGCGGGAACGTCAGCGGGTACGTCTGCGGCTGCGAGGTCGGCTGAGAGAAGCCCAGGAAACCGTGCAGAGATACCTGGAGAGAGAAGAGCAGGCGGGAGTTAGATGATAGTGGGGAGTTTCGGGTGTGACTAGATCACGTTACTATTTAAATAAGCGTTGGTCTGCGATCTACGGTTCAGTCTTCACTCCGCAGACTTGTAGATTGTGCATTGCGGCACAATCTTACAAGTCAGTGTGATCTGGATGCGCCGCCACGAAACAGTTCGTGGAGAGTCTCAGTGAATGTCCGTTTGAAAGGGACAAATTGCGCCGCTGACTTACGTACGAGGGGGTATCGAAAAGTTCTGATCATCACCATGAATTAGATGTGATAGGAATTTGATTTTTTTACATGATGTTCATTACTCCTTTACAAGTCACCACACACGACCGCAAACTTATTGCATCGTTTCTTGAGCTGCCTCAGGCGGTCATTGTAGGACCCTCGCACTGTCCCGTAGATCACTGCTCCACCTGATCAATGACGTCATTTCTGTCCTTAAGTCACCGGCCATACTGTGGATTCTTCATCTCCCGTAACAATCAAGAGTCAGTTAATACCCGGTCAGGTGAATTTCTTAGACGCGGTAGGATTTAATGTTCACATCATGTTGTTTCTTCAATCGCAGCTCAGGACGACTGGGCGGGGGCGCTGTCAGTGTGGATAAAACATCTTTCTTGGGCTTTTTTGCGGCGATTCTGCTTGAGGCCATCTCACAACTTCTTCAAAAGTGTGCCGTAGTGCTTGCTTATCATTATCCGACCATCATCAAGACAGTCGGTAATGACTATCCTACGCCAGATCCAGAACACTGATAGCATTGACCTTCCATATCGGCTTCTGCATCTTCGCCTTTTAAGAAGGACAGATGCGCCGTGCTTAAAGTTCTTGATCATCTTTTTGTCTCTGGATCATACACCTAGATCCAGCATTCGTCATAAGTCATTAAATGATCGAAGATGTCTTCAATTTCCTAAAAAAGGCCTAGTTTTCATTTCGAAAGGCCAAGACGCATTTTTCTCTTGAACAAAGTAGACACACGAACTTCTAAGCGGGCTGACTCCTTTATCGTCTGTAGTTCTTCGCTGATAATATTTTCAGGCGCTGCCAGCATTGAAACCTTTCTGTTGCACAATCATCTGAAAGGTCACACGACGATCTGTAAGGATGAGGTCCTCCACTTCCTTCACAGTCACCACCTTGTCAGTCACTGGTAGTCACTCACTTCTTGACTCCCCTGCAAGGGCCATGCAACCAAGTTGAAAATTATTTCTTCATTTTCGGTTAGTGCATGAGATGGGCTTTCCTCGCCATAAAGCAATTTCACGTTCTTGATGTATTTTCTCAGTGTGATACCGTTTCAAATGCATTAGTTAGATGACGGTTCGGTCCTCAATGGGTCCAACAATCATCTTTTTTACTTCTAATTCTCTCCTACATAAGATAAAACCGCTTCTCAGGATTTTCTTTGCGGGAACATTGTTCTTAAGAACCAAATATAATACCAACCAAAAATCGGTCTATATCTTCTATGTAATGATCAGAACTTTTCGATACCCCCTCGTACAGCAGCGTCAGTCGAGGAGCGTCAGTCGACAGTACAGCATTCGCACCTTCCCTGCTTACCCAGGTGTAGTTGAAGAGGAACCCATAATAGGGGAATCGGACGTTGAGCTTCTTGTCGATCTGCGGCGTCAGGTCGTTGATGTCCTTCTGGTAGTCGTTGGGGTCCTTGTAGGGGTACATCATCTCGGATCGGATCTCGTTGAGTCGTTCCTCGGTGATGGTATAGTGTTCCTCGTCGTCCCAGGCGTTGTAAGAGTTGAGACCGCCCGACGGGCCGCCTGTCGAGACGGACATAGGGTGGTTAAACGAGGGATATCGGGGGTGGGATTAGTAAGGCGTGAATGCTGCGTAAATGGATAAACTCGTTGTAAGACTAGGACGTTGGAATGTCCCGTGTTATTCCCGCTGATAGCGTACACAGTACACACTCAATAAATAACCTTAGGTGTATTTATGCATAATTTATGCAAAATTTAAGAATTATTTTATTGGCATAGCGCCTAAAACTAAGCATGAGAGTTAACTTTCTGTGCTAACGAGCTCACGATTCAAGTGTTTCACGGGATGATCACGGTTGCGGTATCACTAGCTTTGACAGGGCTTACTATCAGAATCGGTGTGCTTAGTCACTAGCCAGAGTTCAGTACGAGGTTTTCTGCTTTGTTGATAGACGTATAAAGCTCAGAAAAGACCTCGTTAGTGATTAGACAATGTGTCAATGAGTGTACAGCAGCACGGCATTGCAACATAAAAGGATTTGCAGCGGCAGCCACACTAAACTTCAGCCCCAATCGTTCGTAAAATCAACAAAGAGACCAAGAATGAACCTATAGGATTTCTACAGTCAACTCGTTGGTAATTGGTATCGTACGACGGTCGACGACGAATGTTCTGAGAGCAATGTAATCAATCATATCGACATCAGATGCAGCGCTGCCGATAAACCGCGACGAATATACGCTAGTCTTGGGTCGTTTGCCTCTCAAAGGACTCTGAAACAAATTGATCACTAATCAGTGATCAGCTAGGGACCCGCGAGTTGCGTCAATTGGTAACATGAATCAGACCTCGCCTTTCTATCCACTCTGTCCACATTCCACATGCCTCCACCGACACGGGTGCAGCGTCCGGCCCGCAGTGAATCACACGGGAGATAGCGCCCGTATCGGCCGGTCGTGGCCTCAGCTATCAGCTCGGCACTATCGTAACACCTCGGCACCTCACCCCCTCACTCAACTCTCCCCTCCCCAAGGGGTCGCTGACAAAGACGACGTCGTACAGGTGTCGGGTGACAGTGACTGGTGTCGTGTAAAGAATGTTTATTGATCGGTGTCCAGATCCGGTTTATGTCAATGCTGCAAATCATCCGTTTTGTCTACCTGAAATGCGTGGTTACGTGTCTGACATATTTAAATTCGTATTCTTTTATTTATAACTTCTTTGTCCTTTCTGTTGTGCACAAATTGTCCCGCTATACATATAAGAAGTCTCCTTTGCTGATGAAATATTTTATACAGCCTAAAAATGCCCTAAAACATCCCAGAGCGGCAAACTTAACAACTAAAACACTAACCGTGACCGAAAGTAAGGCCGGAGTAAGGGGACCCAGCAGCAGGTTTTGTGCATCGAGGAGCCAGCGTGAGGGTGGGGAGTTTGAACTGCGTGGAGCCCCCAGGAGCCTGCGAGGGTCCCTTTAGAAGCTTTCGTGAATCATGAAGCCTTCAGAGGCCGTCACGGGCCCTTAGAGGCCAGCGTGACTCAAAGAGCCCATGTGGGAACTTTCAGAGACCTGCATAAGTGCATAACCCATACTCGTATCTCATGAAGCCTGCGTAGGGGGCCAGGGGCCCTCAGAGGCCGTCGCGAAGGACCTCAAGGACAGTCGTGGGGCCTTCAGCAGATGCCTTCAGAGGATTGCGGATGGGACCCCAGATTCTAGGGGCCCAGAAACACCATACCTGCTTCTGAGGCCAAAAAGGCCGTATTCGGCCTTTACTGATCCTAAATTAAGACTGAAGCCTAGCTTACCAGAGAGACCACGCACCGTCAAACCGACTTCCAGACAACTGAAAACCCTTAGATAGGGGTAGTTGAATCAACGCCCCTCGATCCCTACACACCGGCTTGAAACAATAGAACCAGTATAACGCCTTTTGTGGCGACTAACGGAGCGAGCGAGAGGGTGGGCCTTGCACGTGCGAAATTGCGAGGGGTACCTCCAACTAACTTGTGCACGGCACCTTACTAACCGGTCTCTAGCGATGTGCCAAATTTGAGCACAATCGGCCCAGCCGTTCTCGAGATCTGGAAGCGGCACCCTGCACGTGCGCACGTGCAAAATGGGTCCCAACCGACTTGTGCACGGCACCCTACTAACTGCTCCGTAACCGTGTACCAAATTTGAGCGCAATCGGTCCAGCCGTTCTCGAGATCTGGAAACGACCCCTGCACGTGCGCACGTGCAGCAGCACCCCAACTCTGGCACATGGATATGCATTGCCTAGTGGGTGCCTACCTACATGCCAACTCTCAGCGCAATCGGCCCAGTAGTTACCGAGATATTGCAACAATTACAAAAGTGACACCTCTTCGTTTTGCACGTGGCACGTGCATAAGGGGTCACCCACATGCATCGGGAATAGTGCAATACTTGGTAGAAGGAATGAAGCTACCCTACAAAAATTACCGCATGTAAATCGGTCAAGTGGTTGCTGAGATATAAGCCTCGCAAAAGCGTGACCACGGCCGGCCGGCCGGCCGGCCGGCCGGCCGCTCATACTCAGAAATTTCCGTTAATCTAAGGAAAGACTACGCTCGCTTCGCTCGCTCCGTAATAATAGATCTTCACAAAAGCAATGCACTAGCCTTGAGTCGTGATCTAGAGCAACGTTACCAAGACTCTGAAACCTCGGTATAAAAATTGGGTCGTTGCCATGAACCGTGTTTACATAGGGTTCCCTTAATCCTCCCCTATTTGTCTCTTAAATGTCCCTTATAAAGGAATCCTCTGTCTCCTTTACCTCGCTTCACTACAAATATGGCGCAACTAAGTCATTCTAGAACACTGAACTCTATAATGTGGAATGCGCATCGGCCGCCAAATGGTGTCCAACGGTGCCGCCATGTTGCGCAGACCAGAAAGCGGCCGCCGCCTGTGCTGGGGAATAGGGAATTCGGGACCTCGATTTACGTTTGCGGTCGCTGCATCCGTTACGCTCAAGGTATGTGGACACGGAACCCGGCATCTTACGCAGAATTGAGTGGAGAACAAGATGAAATCCTAAAAAATCATCAGCTATAAGGAACTAATACGTTAAACCCTTATAAGTCAATGGGGAAATATGAAAATTGTTATTTTGGCGCCGAGAATGATCTGAAACTATCTCAAGCATATAAAATCATGATTTCATGCACTCTTTGCAAGGTTCTATGCTTCATATTTGCATTGTTGCCCTTGCGTGACGTCATTTGTGACGTCACAAGGGTCACCATTTTTCTTCAATAACTCCCGATCAAATTGAGCTAGCGAGTCGGGAAAGCCACCAATGGACTCAGGAAGACCTGCCAAATCGAATGATATGCGACATGACCTCTTTCGACCAACTTCGTGACCTGGGGGTGCTGACCTGACCTTGACCTGAGGTCAACACCCTTAGTTGACCTGACCCGAACAAAAAGTATATCACTCGATGCGCCTGAGCTAGCTGAACACGATGATACCAAAATCGCGGCTCTACGGCCATTTTTGGCGAAGTTATTTACCAAAAACCGAACCCGTGCCTTAGATCACTTGACCTGACCTCAGAGGTCACCGGTTGACCTGAGACCCTTACAGCGGGTTCCTAACAGTCACTCTGCATTATACTTTGCCGCATACGACCACTTTACCGCTTAATTCTAGTTTAATTAGCGGTGCATTAGCGAGGTGGGTTCAATCAACCCCCTCGGCCGGGGCAAATGTAGGTCAGGCGAGTGAATTTGAGGAATTCTGAAGATACGATCGTGTTCCCCACTCAATTCTGCGTAAGATGCCGGGTTCCGTATCTACGTAACTTGAACGTAACGGATACGGCGGCCGCAAACGTAAATCGAGGTCCCGAATTCCCTATTCCTCAACACAGGCGGCAGCCGGTTTCTGGTCTGCGCAATATGGCCGCCACCGTTAGACACTACGGCCAATAGGGTTGAAGCGGCATTGCTCCCCTGTGTTCTAGAAGCAGTTTGCAATCTTTGCTTACCTTTAGGGCTATCCCAAATGGCTTCCAGACTAGACACTGAGGTAAAAGTGATAGCACATGAAAGCTCAAAGCAAGAAAAATCAGAAAACTATCTGGCATTTAACATACTTTTAACGGCTGAGCTATTATTCAAGTAGGTGTAATCACATCCACGGCAATATCAGAACACCGCACCTGTCGAATTTCTGCCTTGACTTTCTGCCGTTTATGCAGGGGGCGTCGAAGTCTAGTTCCTACCAAACTGGCACTCCCATGCCTACGTCACCACGAGGACGCCCGAGGGCATTTACATGTTGGAGATAGGGAAATTGCCATAGTTTAGAGCCGCCTGGAGGGCAACCTTGAGATAGATAATAATGTAAATGTGTGCTAATATGATCATCAACATGTTATTTATCCAAATCCAGGGCCAATTAATCGATATCTTGTCACGTTTTCCAGTGGTGATGCGCTAACTTTCGTGGTTCTTGCAGCCAATAAGGGTGTTTCATAGTGGGATTCAGCCGCATTATCGACTTTAATGCCATAAACCGCCACGGAACATATGATTTGCAGCTCCCTGGCGTGATAGCTGCCAGTAGGGCTCCGGAGTCGGAGTCATGAAGTCGGTCGGAGTTGACAGTTCTGACCTGAGTCGTCGAGTCGGAGTCAGAGTCGATTTTAAAAGCTGGAGTCTGAGTCAGTCACCGAAATTCGATCCCCTGCGCAGACCTTTCAGGGTTCCGTAGTCGGAGTTGTAGTTGGTCCGAGTCGACAGTTCTGACCAGAGTCAGAGTCAGAGTCGATTTTGAAAGCCAGAGTCGGAGTCGGAGTCACCAAAAATCCATTGCCTCCGCAGACCTGCTAGGGCTGTGGAGTCGGAGTCGGTCAGAGCCGACATTTGAAATCAAAGTCAGAGTTGATTTTTGAAAGTCTGAGTCAGAGTCGGAGTCATCAAGAAACCCATGGACGATCCGCAGTGCCATGCAGTAAGGGCGCTGCCAATCGATGCCCTGAATTGCCTATGATTTATGAATTAAATGAATAGATGGCAATTAATTAGGTACCCTCTATTATTCATCCCTTGCCACTTGGAGTACTTACTTTCCGTAGAAAAAGACGCATTATTTGTTTGTTTATTTATTGACAAATATTTTTTGAACAGTTAGGGATACAGACACAAAACACAATGATAGCACCTCGCTGGTGCAAATCATTGCTAGATAGATGTTGAAATGTGTTGCCATTGAAGAAACTACTGATTTTCCAGGCGGCTCTCGTCTTCAAGTAACTACTGGTCTTGTAAGATCTCTTGGCTCACCGTCTGGCGTCTAGTTCCAAGGTTTTCTGAAAGCTAATCAAACGTTACCATGGCTGCTCTTGATGGCATAGGTAGCGCTTGCTGGTTCTTGGTTCTTAATTGGTGGTTCTTGCGTCTGATCCTGTTACTTCATGTTCCATCACATCACATTAAATTTCTAATGGAACAGACATTTTATTTCACTATCAGTCGACTTGCATTTACCCATGTGGCCTGCTGGCCCTTCTATTTCCACGATAGAATCTACCAATTATTGAAAAAGCCTCTGATAAAAAAGCAAGAAAAGTATGTGAGGTTAAATAATTTGCGACGGTCCTAGAAAACCTGAAAAAAATATCAAAAAGCCTGTCTATCTCACTTCCCTCACTTCATAACAAAAAACACGCAGCAAAACATGCGAAAGAGTCCTTAGCAACGCCTTAGCAACGCACTTGTCTGAAGTGCGCAATATGTGTCACATCTGGAAAATTTAGTGGCTACTTGATTATTCAACTAGAGTTGGACTATAATAGCTAGGCTTTTATATAGAAAATAAGTGTTTGCTTATGGAATTTATAGCAACTGGTTACTTAACTTCGAAATAATGATTTATAACAGAAAAAGCTTGTTTGCGACATATTTGTAAAGAAACAACGGAAATAGCTTTGACTCGTACGCTATTCTAGTACATTTTTGGTAGAAAACTTCGTCCAACCTTATGTTTTAGGGCCTTGCGTTTATGCGTTAATGCCACTTAAAAATCCTCAGTCGGCGCACGTGCGCTTGTCGAGTCGGGGACCACCAGTCGCACGATTCGGAACTGCCGGCCAATCAGCACGCCGCTTTTGTGATATGGTAGTTTGAGAACCACTGGATATGGTAGCGTAGCAGCTTTTGGAAAGGCGCTACGCTACCAAATCCTCCCCTATTTGTCGCTTAAAGAGGGAATTGAAGGGCAGGATAAAAATACTTCAAAATGTGAATTGTTGAATTTCAAGTATTAAATAAGCCCAATTTATATTGTTTGCAGCATAAACGATGCTTTGTATGCTTCTAACAACAATAGCGCCCATAGCAACGTTACACGCGATCGCTATGATGCCTAAAATTCGATCTGAAAATAGGGGAGAAATAGGGGAAGATTAAGGGAACCCTATGTAAACACGGCTATGGTCGTCAAAACTGTGAAAAAGCACTCAGCATGTCGTTTTGCCCGCCCGACCTATACCAATACCTTCAAAGTTGTCTGCCACAGGCACTGGCGGATCCAGAAAGGCGGTCTTGGACGCTGCGGAGGATACCCAAAAAAAAGTTTCTCCATCTTCCAAACCTCATCGAATTTCGATTACTTACGCACTGCTGTGCCGTTTAAAGCAAGCTTTTTCCAATAAAAGTTGTTAACTCTCAAAAATAAAACGCTCAAAATCAGACTATTAAGTGTCCAATTTCATATCAAGCTGGGCATCCACTCGGAAGTCACGGATCTCATGACTTCCGGTTCGCCGTCGGAACTCGGAAGTCCTCCCGCGGTGGGCCCGGTCGTATAGTAGCAGATCGGTAGTGGCCGGTGTCGGCCATGTTTTGCGCGCAGTTCGGACACGTCAGCCAGCCCCCAGGCCGATAACGGCGATAAGATTGAACTGTCGTCACACAACACCGATTCATGGTCCAACGCACCATACCGGGCGCGGGTGACCGTTCCGTGGCGCAACGGAGGCGGCGGACCGGATGACAAAGGATACCGCGGGGCCACAGGCGCGTGCCTTGCGGGACAGCATACCTGCAGGCGCTTATACTAGCGCCATCTAGGAACAACAAAGTAAGATAGGTTCGCGCTGCATTCGTTGAGTTTGTTGGCAACCGAAGCAGATGTCCCGTGTGCCGACAAAACTAACTGCTCTCGTTGCGCTGTAGTGAAGAAAGTTTACGCATGTCTTTAAAGGGACCCTCCCACCTTAACATTAGTTTTGAGTTGAGATAGCCAAGTTTGCGGCCAGGCTCAGAAACCACCATTTATCCTGGTCGCAACCCCCGCAGCTTTATGGTGTTCAAGAAATTTCTTCCCTTTACTTGCAGGGTGGGACCAGCTTGGTCCCTATCTCTTAACCATTACGGGAATCTGATGACGTCATCAGGCTTTCGAACGTCCGTTAAATGTTTGACTAAAACGTTTTGTAGCACGCGGTGGTATATGCTGCTTTGCGCGCAACAAATGCCGCACTTTCAAATAAAGTCGCTAGGAATAGCGGAGATCCCAAAAAGTAAACAAAAGTAAAAGTCTAATATCTTGAAAACCGGTGAATATTTTTCGATGAAATTTGGTAGATATTCGTTTTTGCTCTTTCTGAACCGAGCGACATCACTTTCATGCAAATTCATTAACTTTTTTGAAGGTGGGAGGGTCCCTTTAAGCGTGCCGTATGTACAGTGTGCGTACCGACTTACGGGTAGATGTGTCGATATACGATCAATTAGTCCTATGTCACGGGTGGCAATCAGTCGGCGTTATACCTAGCTTCAAGCTTGTGATCATGAGTTCACTCCAAGCAATGACAAATTTGTTTTACGCCTTACGGCATTATTTATAATTAGTCAATCAACGAAATACAAAATGCTGTACACTACACTGTGCAATAAAACTGATCAGTGCAGTTGCTTGAAGCGGACAAGCGTGAATGGGATGAGTATATCCATTCGCCTTTGTCCACATAACAACAACCGTAAACAGGCAGGTTTGACGGATCCTCGCAAGTATTTGTCAATGCTCATACAAATACACATCACAGCCTTTCGTAGGTACACGGCACTACAGACAACAGATATCATTGATTTCACTGCAGCAGCAACAGCGCTTGATAAGTCTAATCGTATTTGTTTGTCACACACCCACTGTGCATGATGACGATATTTACTTATTACTTATTGCGTGACGTAGTCAGGGAGCCATCCAGTCTGAGCCATGCTGAATTACCTGTTTGGTCTCGCGCTATCAATGTTAGTTCTCAGTAGGGAACGGAGTTTCAACAAAGATATCATATCAGTCAATCGATTTAAATAGACGCAACGTCACCGGGCCGGATCTTTTCTTTATGGCCACAATAAATGTATAATGAAGAACTGAATAGGTTAGCCACAGCCTGCTCCCTCACGACAGTGGACATCAAATACTTACTAAATAATCCCCGGGGGAGCGACTTTCTCGCTTCGAGCAAAATCCCTTTCCCTTTCAGAAATTTGAATCATGCGCTTTTTCTTTTGTGGATGCCATCGGGCTAGCCTTATGACGTCAAACAGTGGTCAATTTATGCTTAATCCCACCGTTTTAAAGCCGAGTTGCCTGTTGCTGTGCTGCTTCAAAGTTATTTCTACCAGGCGAGTAATAAATTTAAAACGAGCATTTCATGAAAATGATCAATAAAACAAAAACGATTCGTCGGCAATGGCGGAGAGGCTTTACCGGATCCGAACAATTCACAAGTGGGTACACGTATGTACTTCTGGACCGCAGATTTCACTCTCTGCACCCACGGCCGTCACGCCCAGCCATCGTCCAACACTCACTGTAATATCCCGTGTTGATGGTCCTGCCTCCATCGGACACCGCCTGTCTCCTTGTCCTGTTTTTATACTCCTCCGCCGAACACTGCGACACCAGACACAGGGCGACCAGCACGGCCGCCGTCACAGCAACCCTGGTCCCTCCGCCGTGCGCGGCCATCGTTCGCGCCGCGAGCGTCCACCGCACCTGACCCTACCGCCGCTCCGCCGCGCTGAGCCGCGCCGCGCTCCAACGCTATCGCCGCGCCTGAGCAAACGGGCGATAGTGGCCGGCGAGTGCTGATATCTACAGGCAGATAGCCGCCTCTTCGAGTGCCAACGGCCACCCGAACTCGGCTAACTCTGCAGCACGGGTCACTATGTATACTGGAGTCGCCGGTGATTTGCGTGGGTGTCGCATGCCTGCCGATTGCGGTTCTCAAAAGATGGGGCTTTATATGTGATGAGCATGTACAATGAGTAATGTGATCCTGTTCAAAATACATGCACACAGTCTCACTGACAGAATCACGTTCTTTAGCAGCATCGAAGTTAGATAGCAAAGTAGCAAAGTAGCATTTGTCACACGTTAATTTTCTTATTCATAAAACCAGTATAACGCCTTTTGGGGCGACTAACGGAGCGAGCGAGAGGATGGGCCTTGCACGTGCGAAATTTCGAGAGGGTACCTCCAACTGAATTGAGCACGGCACCCTACTAACCGGTCTCTAGCAATATGCCAAATTTGAGCACAATCGGCCCAGCCGTTCTCGAGATCTGGAAGCGGCACCCTGCACGTGCGCACGTGCAAAATGGGTCCCAACTGACTTGTGCACGGCACCCTACTAACTGGTCCCTAACCGTGTACCAAATTTGAGCGCCATCGGTCCAGCCGTTCTCGAGATCTGGAAACGACCCCTGCACGTGCGCACGTGCAGCAGCACCCCAACTTTGGCACATGGATATGCAGTGCCTAGTGGGTGCCTACCTACATACCAACTTTCAGCACAATCGGCCAAGTAGTTACCGAGATATTGCAACAATTACAAAACGGACACCTCTTCGTTTTGCACGTCGCACGTGCATAAGGGGTCACCCACATGCATCGGGAATAGTCCAATACTTGGTAGAAGGAATGAAGCTACCGTACAAAAATTACCGCGTGTAAATCGGTCAAGTGGTTGCTGAGATATAAGCCTCGCAAAAGCGTCCGCACGGCCGGCCGGCCGGCCGGTCGGCCGGCCGCTCATACTCAGAAATTTCCGTTAGGAAAGACTACGCTCGCTTCGCTCGCTCCGTAAACAACAGGGCAATGTATTAGTTTGCCTTGCCAGTATTTATTCCTTAACAATGTGCATAAGCCTCATCTCTGCAATCGCAGCAACGGGAAGCAGACAAACGAATTTGAGGAGAACAAAAGACGCAAACAAAAGTGTACATAAACCATCTTACTATGTCAACATATTCGTGATGCTTTGCAAGCCTTCGGCGCATTCGACGGAAGCTGTTACTTAGTTTAAAATCATGTACATATACATGATTTTAATACGCTGATGTATGTAGTTCATCTGATGAGCTCAGAACGGTACCTAACATAAATCCCGCGGAGGGGGAAAAACTACGCCTAGATTGGAGTGAGGATAGTACTAGCGAAAACAAAGAGTATTATCTTTTGGCGCATACCTATCGTCCCTGGGTCCTGGCTCCGTCATATCACTTGGTTGATAAGACTGTGCTACCTGGCACCTGCCCTCCTTGGCTATCTTGGCATGCACAAAGCACAAGACGGCGAAGGTATATGAAGAGCTGAAAGTAAAGGTAGTTAGGTAGGCATGTGGTAATCTATCTTATATCTCATTACTTGTTTATCTGCACCGTTTCCGGACCCTGCATGTCGCCGGTCACCACTCCTGTAGCCCTTATCGGCGTATCACCTTCTCGGAGCAGGACGAAGGACTAAATAATCAGACATGATAAAGAGCCCACTGCAAGAATAGCTCATCATAAAAGACGATGATAAACATGGTAAAATTGGAGGAGTTTGTCTTTCACTTTTATCTTCCTATGGTGTAGGCGGCACAAACATTATTGACTGTTTCACGCCAGAATCTTTCTATGAGACGATAAGTTAAGTTATGAGATGATAAGTTTGAGCTGGCAGGAACAGGCGAAACAATCGTGCTCCGAAGCAGCAATAGTTCTTGTCTCTCTGGCAGACTGATACGATGGGTGTAACTGAGGATGGGAATGTTGCGAATCACACGACAGCCAACTACCAGGGCGCAGTCGCCGAACCTCTAAATCAAAACCGCTGTTCCGTACGACTGACATATCAGCCGACCATGCATTGAACCTCCCCCTCGCCCCTCTCTAATCGGCTCGCCGGGTAAGATGACAAATTGCGACAGAGACCAGATCTCTTACGAAGATATATGCATTTAGCATTGCGTAAGCGATCAGCCAACATAATCAAACAACCTTTAAACATTCACTTAACAAAGTATTCCCTTCGTAAATGGTCTGCTCTGGCGACACCCTATCAGAGCGTGCCGACCGCACTGGGTCCAAGGTTTATCACCTCTGGCCGGCCACCGATCACTCGACGGTCAAAGTAAGGTGCAAGGTTTATTTTCTGTCACTGGCGGGGCGATTTGTTACCACGCTCGACCCGTTATGTCTCAACACTCCTCCAATCGGAGGAGTTCGGAGCACAGTCGTAGTCGCGATCTGGTACCGACAGCGTCCCCTTGAGCAACCACGGCGCTCCCAACAGAGGACAAGAGGCGGATACAACATGGCCGAAGAGAAGATAGCAGACTCCATTGGCAGCTTCAGCCAGCTCAAGATATCGGATAACAAAAAGAAAACAGGTAAGCTGTAAACTCGAAGCTTATCACGAACTATCTCATTGGTGATATAATGAATCACGAATCGTTCATTTTGTTGCGAGGTTTAAGGTAGCACTTAGCAGACGAAGTCTAATGAATTAGGGATGGTTCTTTTAAACGCAAGACTGTCATATCCCTTTTCAGTCGTTTATGCACAAGAGCTTTTCTTCAGTGGGGGAGGGTCTTACATAGTACAATGCATATAATTATAAGAAAAAGAAACAATTGATCTAAATACAAAGGTGCAGCGATGAGCGATAAGCTGTCGTCCCATTTACAACGCATCAAGGGCCCTCGGAAGGTACTGCAGGCGCCAGGCGCTCGATAAAACTTTTTGCTGACACCTAAGCAGGTTACCGCTATCTCTCAAGCGGCTTCTTTCACGAGCGGCATTTGACTAATTTGACTCGGCATTGACTCATCGACGCTCTAGTCTCCTCACGTAAGTCTTTATCAGTAGTTGAAGAGCGCAGCTTTTCCGTACATACATCAAGTCAGGTTGCCCCAGTGCAACCTGTCATGCAAAGATTGTGTGTGGGCGAAATAGTGCATGGAAGGATAGACCTAAAAAGACACTGGGTATCGTATAAGGGAAAATGAGACATTTAAAAACGTTATCTAATGTACTTGCAATTTCAAAATATAGGATGCTGTGGCACACCTGCAATTTTGCGAACGTAGGCATTTGCCCTCCATTCCTGATAAAATCCTGATTATGATAAAGGCTAAATTCCTGATTTAGCTATTTCACGACAGCTTTATGTGGCAGCGATGGTTATTGATTGCCGAGGATCAACTCGCTGATTGCCAGGTCTGGTTCCCAGGCAGTGCACAGAGTTTAATTAGCCGGTCAGACATAGCCGGCGGCCACAGACAGCCGAGTCCCGGAAGGTAGTCGATTCATGACGAAACTGACGCCGGGAGGGGAGAGAGGGAGATTCAATGCGTCGGCGGCTGATTGTCCGTTCATCCGTTATAGACAGTCAGACAGCAGTGGCTTTGATTTAGAGGTTCGGCGACATGACGCCTTGGCGCTGACCGGCCACTGCGGCCAGATCAGTTTATCATGCTGTCATGGAGCCGTATGTTTCTTGGCCGTCGTTCGGACTCACGTGGGTTTCACGTGCCTTGCCGACCAAGCCTAACCGAAACAATTAATCCAAAGTCTTCCCACCATCCTATCTACCTCTATCTACGTGTATACCATCTCGCCTCAAATTGTGGATCAATCCCACCCATCCCACCTACCCCTCCCGGCAGTGCCCCCCCCCCCCGGCAGCCCCAGCTACCCCTCCCGGCAGTCTCGGCCAACGGGTCGGTCGGGGCTGGGCCGTGGCAGCCAGCCCTCGGGGCGCATGTGCGGGCTCCGTCGGCCCACCTCAGATCAATACACAGGGCCGGTCAGACGGCCAGCCGACTCAGAGCGAGGAGGAGCTCACGTGGGGTGACGCAGAGCCTACCGTCCGTGCATAGTGTGTCGAGTGATTTCCAGGGTGTGTTTACGACCACGAGGGGTTGTGTTTTAGTGTCAGTGGGCGGAAGAGTGCGTTCTTGGCAAGTTCAGAGATCCAAGATAAATTGAGCAAGCTGGTAGATATTTGGGCGAACACCGCGTGTTACGTCAGGTAGTGTGAACTGTGAACAGACGTTAGGTATCTTACCGAGCGTTAACACCACAAACTTACGGGCTAGAAGTTCTTGATCGGACGAAGCATCCGCACGGCATCTCCTGCCGGCGCGAGCCGGCTACAGCCTGCCATCTCGTGAGCCCAGCTCGTGAACTCCGAGACCTCGCCGTCTCACGTAACAGGCGCAGTATCCCGTGACCTTGTCAGACTCAGACGGCGAGCTATCCCACCAGTCAGTGCAGCGAGCGACTCCAAGAACCCCGTGAGTCCGCCCGATCTGAGAAGAGCCGGCCACGCGCCGCGCCGGAGCTAGGAAGCCTCGTGGTGCGTCCTGGCTCACGCCCGGCGTGTCAGCCGACACGGCTGGGCCCACGCCAGTCCACCAGCTGCGTGCCACCGGTTGTGCAACGGGGATAGAAGAGTGAACGATCGAGGGAACGCCAAACTTTTGAGGGACAGGATAGTGCACCAGCCACCACGGGGATATGGTTGTGGGTGAGTTTGAGTCGAGCGGCGAAGAGTCTGAAGTGGTTTATGGCGATGTGTTGGGCTGTTTGTCGGTTGTCAGGTTTTGTGGGGGGGGAGGAGAGGGAAAGAGTCTGTCAAAGCGTTGTTGATTGACTAGGACTCATGACTGAATGACTACAGGAAGTCAAGGCTCATGGATGCGCGGATTCTGGACCAACCATCGAAACGGTCTCCATTTGCCATAGAGACACCATTAGATCATCATTTGCCATAGATGATCATTATTTGGTATGATCATAGAAATAAAGCGGAAACGCGACCATAATTGACCCGCTATGACTCTTGGATACGATCATCGTTAACCTGCACAGAGCACAGGTCTCTGGGACCCAGCCATACGGAACCTGGCACACCCGCCGTATGACGTCACTATTTGTTTTCATTAGGTGACCTGACTTCACCCGACGTCAATCTATAAAAGACGTTTTTAGCATCACCAGACGAAACGCGACAACGGAAAACTAATTAATTCATGGCAGTAGTTATAGTGATATCTTTCAAACCTTCCTAAATTTTACGAAGCTTTACCTTGGCTTAGTGGGTCATCGGGATTACATGCTGCTTTAACCGTTCTAATTGTGATTTATGCCGTAATTTCCCAGGATTTGCGCTAGAACACTGCCGATTGCGTGTAATAAGTACATATATGATTTTGAATTAACCTTTCCGTCTTGAGTATCAGTTAGTCCGTGCGATGCCTCAATCCTAACCTTATTAATGGTTTCCCACTTCTGGATAACACATATGCATTCCAGCGACTATGTTTATAAACGTAGTCTGCATGTTGTGATTGGGAGAAGTCGAGACAGACCTGCGTTACGTAAGCTTCGTCTAAGGTGTATTCCCTTGAGCTCAAGGATCCAGAATTTTCCACCTTGGCCAGCCGGTGAATTTCCGCGAAATATCCTGCGTTTCCCCAGATTTATGAGAAAGGCCAGCAACCGGAGTTCGCTGCAGGTTGAAAGCATTCACTATCGACCGCGACTTCGTTGATAATAGCGCATTTAGCTGCTCATGTAGGAATTGGGTGTAACTGAAGCGCCCATTTTCATCATAGGACTGAGTCACAGAAGTGACACATTTACGACGTCACCGCTCTGACCATGGGCTGATGTGTGTGACGCCACACCCCCTCCCTTTGGCAGATGGCCAGGAGATGCGCAGCAAGGCATATGCGCTCTGCCGGGACTACCTGCACGGCGCCTGGCAGCTGATCGCATCAGACGAGATGATCTTCCGGCCCATCAGGTAAGCCAAAAGATAATGGAATGATTAAAGTGAATTCTTGGACGGTACCACCGGGCAAATGCTCTTCACATTACACTTCTGTAGAATGAAACTGGACAGTTCTAACGGGGGCAACTACATACTTCGTCAAATACGTGCGGCACAATACCTTCACAGGCAAATTTAGATAAAATCCTGCAAAGCAAGAAATTGAATATGGCCATTAAACGTCATATTACTACCATAAAGCTTGGAGACGAACTAATGCAACTTCTGAGTCCAAATTCATACTCTGCGGAGTGCGGTTGCTACTCACATGCTGCCGATGTGAGTAGCGACGGAAATGTACGTTTTCATTGCAATTCATGACGAGGTACCATGAAGGAACCGAATATCGACCATAGCTGGTGGTCATGCTCGACGGCCCGAGCTTTGACGTCTTTCATTCATGACGACGAGGCCGCAGTGACGCGAGCAGCTGGATCCACGGTCCGGGGGGGAGGGGGGTGGACTTTGCAAACGGCCAGCGCTCGGAAATAAAGAATATATGATTGTCTGTCGGTCCTGTGACATTTTTTGCTTTGCTAATGAAATTTACCCGGCACTCTTTATTGATTATTTACCAGCCACTTACGATGCTGCTTGTAGAATCAATATAAAAGATGAAAAGTGGTCGATCTCGTCGGCTTTCAAGGAACCGATTTATGCCGTGCGCTCTAACGACCCTCCTTGCAGGGCAGGCTCAGTAAGACTCAGAACGGCAAAACATAGCCTAGAGTAAAATGGAGTAAGCTTTGGGTAAAACAAGGTCCCGGTTTCGACATTGCGGAGTTGCTTGCTTACCCTGATCCATTTTTTTCTCCTCACGAAGTGTTTTAAATTCTTTCATGCTTACCACTAACGGGTGTCTACTAGGGTGTGTCATTTTGGGCATTTTTTTCGCAAAACATGGTGCTCCACTGATTTTATCGTGCCCCAGACACGTAGAAACCGTGTGACATTTTTTATTTCCCCCAAATATTAACAACCATGCGGCGCCGACCGCCGACACTTTGGCCTATCTCTCAGCATTAGCGACCTCAGCGCCCCTAGCGGCAATGTTTTGAACTAACACGCTCGCTATGCTTTGTGAGCTTACGATCATCATTAAATGCATTTTACCGAAATGACGCCTTGCTGTTGGCTTGTCTGGCACTCAAAATGTTGGTGAAAATGTGATGTTATGCATCTTAAAGCACGAAATAGTTCTGTGTTAATGTATATTGCATAGTACTACCCCCGATCCCCGTCCTGGTCTGACGGGATACGTACGAGCGCATGTTTATAGTGCCTGCTATTAGGTGTCACATGTTTTTTTTTGTAGCGTCGTTCACTGCATAGACCCCGGGGAACAGGGGGGGGCAGTGGGGGCGCTTACCCCCCCCCCCCCTCCAACTTGAGAGCCGAGTGGGCGCCGCCCCCTCAACATTGATGCAACGATGAAGGATATCTGCTCCCTTTTATGGACCTACATGTCTGTTTTTATATAAACATCAGCACAAGGTATTTCTCTTGCATGTGAATGGTTTCTGCTGATTGGGCATCGATTTAAGAACACCTGCTATTGTCATCCCACTTTGATTTTATCTGAACTTGATCATAACTTTGGTAGGTCAGATTTTATACTGGACCATTTTGGTTCCGGATGGTATTTGATTTGGCGTGATGAGAACATTATGACGTACAACGGTGGTAAAGTCGTTGATTGATACAGGTTTACTCGCTCCGGTGGGAGGCAGTAGCGGCGGAACACTTTCAATTAAGTAGAGGGGGGGGGGGGAAACTGCCGACTTTTGGTCCCATTCTTTCCATGCAACGCCCATAGGGCTAATGTTAAAATGCCCAAATCAGAGGGGGCACGGTGCCCCGGTGCCCTCCCCGTTCCGCCACCTATGGTGGGAGGGCGGCGTGTGGGACTCAGAAGGAGACTAATGGCTTATGTTGTGCCTTTGGTAGGACCCTCAGTATCACCGATGCAGGGCCTTCAGAGCCTCCAATTAGGGGCCTTTAGAGGCACTGGTGTGGGGTCCTCACAGACGCCCGTGTGGCCCCTCAGAGGTGCTAGTGTGAATCCCTCATAAGCGCCGGTGAGGGTCCTCACAGAAATACAGACGCCGTTGTGGACCCTCAGAGACACTGGTGTGGGTCCGTTACATGTGGGTGTGTGGCCCTTAGAGCTGCTGGTGCGAACCCTTTAAAAGTCGGCAGGGGGCCCTCAACGACCGGGGAGGGGGACCTCAGACCGACAAGGGGCCCACAGAGGCCGGCGGCATTTTCAGAAGCCCTGTGGGGTCCTTAGATACCGACAAGGTACTCTGAGACGCCAGTGCGGCCCTCAGTCTCTGGTGTAGGGCCCTCAGAGTTGCAGGTAGGTGGCCGTCAGATATGCTTTTGCCGAACCCTCACAGGCGCAGGTGTGGGTACCTCAGAGCCACCAATATAGGGTTGCATAAATGGTGTGGCACTGGCTTGGGGGACCCTCAGTGGTGTCCTTATGGGCCCTTAGAACCACTGGTGTGGGTCTCTCAGAGGTGCTGGTTGTGAACCCTCAGAGGCCCTGCTGAGGGCCCTCACGGTCTCCGTTATGGGATCCTCAGAAGCCGGCGTAGACCCTGACGGAGATCTTAGTGTGGCTACTTAGGGGCTCATGAGGTGCTCTTACGAGACCTGTAAGGTCTTTCTCAGCTGAAATATAGTCAGCGTGGACCCTCAGAGGTCAGTTGGTACCGCAGGGGTCTTTATGGCCGGGTGGGCTCTCAGAAGCACCAGTGAGGGCCCTCAGTCTCACAGTCGTCGTAATGGGGCCGTCAGAGACATTGGTGTGAGGCCATTACTGATTACAGGTTGGCGTAAGGCCCTAGATATGGCCCCTCTTGGGCCGGCAAGGACTCTCAGAGGCACGCTAGCGGCCATAAGAGGCCGGTAAAGGGCCCTCAGAGGCCGCCAGTAGCCTTCAGAAGCCGGCGTGTAACCCTCATGGACAATTTAGTGAGGCTTCTTTGGACTCACGAGGTGCTGTTACGAGCCCTATTCTTTCTGAATCGAAATATGGCCAGCATAGACCCTGAGCGGTAAACTGGTGCCACAGAGCCCCTCCGACCCGAGGGGTCCTCTGAATGCGATAGGGGGGGGACTAGATGGCACGTGCCTCCTGGGACCCCCTGACTACGCTACTATTTCATATGCGTCATGTCAGGTATTTTGGGCTTGCACCCCAACTTGAAGAATGTTCCTGGGCCCTTGTGACAATATATTGTATTCATTATAGGTATTCGTCATTAGCTTGCACTCTCTGCAATCTGCCCATACTATTATTTGTCCCTAGACGCGCTTACAGAGAGCAGGGATAAGCCCATACAGTCAACGGCCTGTTAGTTTCGCAAACAGCCGCCAGGGGCGCTAGGGTCGCCTATGTTGTGAGATAGGGCAAACTTCTCTCGCTCGGCGCCGCCTGGGGGTTAAAATTTGCGGGAAATTAACAATGCCACGCCCTTTCCACATGAGTGGAGCACAATAAAATCGATGGAGCACCTTGCATTGCGATTAGTGACACACCCTAGTGTCTACTAAATAATGAGAAAATTTCTAAGGAGTTGATACGCACCTTTAATGATAGCACATAATATGTATAATTCACACGATGAAAGACCACTCTGTTGCGAATGTTAAACACACAAAATGAAAACATGACATCCCACGGTCAGTCGCCAGGAGGACGTTAAGCATGCTACGGTTCCGAGTAATCTTCGCCAATCTGAAGGAAAATTACCGGTCTATACCGGAGAAGACACTTATGGCTCTCTAAGTACAAATTAAAGTTTTTTAGCCCAGTGCCAATCGCATATTTATGATATTTCGGCCAAGAGGAAACGATCAGCATGCTAGACAAAAGTTTGAAGTGGCTGTAACTCTGCCAGTTTCGCCACAGAAATAAGATCCCCTGCTATGGGGTACGAAGGACAAAGTGAGGGGTGTCAATGTGCCTGCTGGCGTGACGCTTTAATATTTGCCACTATTATGTCGTAGCATTGGAAGGGTGTTCTAGTGCGAGGGACGGCTAGAAAAGGTGTTGATTCCTTATTTTTGGGGGTCGCCAAGGTCATACATGACGTAGACTACCCAAGTGGTGGCTATAAGCTCCGGTTCGACTTAGTTTTTGGCCATTATGCCATTGAAACCATCACAATGTTGGATGGGGTCGGCGTACCCTTGGAAGATCGAGAGGACAATTCACCCTGCGTGTCGCAGCTTTGGCCGCTTTAAGACTTGGGAGTTGGGAGGCTTTGCAAAGAAAGAAATATATTCAGGGGACTAGACCATAGCTTTGGACCGACATCTGAAGATGCGAAGTCAGAAATTATCGGTCTCGTTAAACGCGGAGGTGCCGCGACGTTTGATTGAGGGGGTCGGGTGGCTCGTGCGGCCTGACGTGAAACATGATGAACTCAGTGCGTTGCTTCGAAGGTTCTTGATAACCAATAAATAGGTGCATCCGCATGCGAATTTTGAACGATCTAAGTTACGCAATTACCGAGATATAGGTCTTTAAACTTTTTCTCATTATTTAGTAGACACCCGTTATATACGCAGCTCATTTAAACGGCGAATTAGGGGACTAAGGTATGTTTTTTAATGGCTTAGTTAAAGATAAATCTAGATACAAAGCTGATTTGTATAAGACAACTTACTCGTAATTGGCATGCAGCAAAGCGTGCTGATTATCTGACGTGCTTCGGAGACTGTAGCAGATGAAAAGCTTTATGTTCTGCGTGAAAATGTCTTATGAAATTCAAAGCATTTAAAAACAAATACTTTACATTCCAATGTCAATGTTGGAAGCAAAGGCAGCAGCGGAGGGCTTAGGCATGCACTTATCACGGCAGTAGCTCCGAAGTAACCGCTACCTTCATTGCAGCCTGTGTAGGGCGCTTCACATACCTGTAACATACCAGGCTAGTAAAATGCAAACATAAAAAACGTTACAAGCGATATGGGATATTGGCATTCCTAGCTGAATTGCGCCCGTCTCTATACCCTACAGCGGAATAGGGTACACACCATAATAAACGAGCAAGTGCTCGATATACAGGGCTTATATGCTAGTCAGGTCGGCTTTGTAAATACATGCCAGCAACGCTTTGCTGGATCCACCGAGTCCCGTTGTTGGCGAGTCTACTTGGTACCCAGTATCCGTGTATCCTGGGGTGTTTCGTCGACCCCTGGGTCGCCGGACATCCATATTTGATCCGCGACCTGCGTGACTGTCTGGTCGGGTCGCCACTGACGATCAACAACAGGACGATTTAGGGCGGCCCAGCGGGACAGGCGAGCCGGTCATTACGTCCACACGACACACTAGGGTCAGCTGTTGTGACGGTGGTATGACCGGTGTCGATGGCTTAGTTGTTGGTTCTTGGTAATGATGTGTAACCGGAATGTTTTTAGATGTTTACGTGGACGGTAGGATGAGGTTATTATGAGCGTCTTACAACAAGAGGGAAAATAATTAATGTGCGTCTACGTGTCGGTATGGGCATAATGCATTCGCAAACGTTAGGTTAGAATGCCATTTGTTGTCTTACTCGGCACCAGAACAATAAAACCTTGCCTATCGCCCTACCGGTTAGATTCCTTGAATCCACTAACGTCAGCCTGCATGGCTAGGGCGATGGCTATGACCATAAATATTGTATGCATGGGTTCGGGCTTTTCCTGGTGCACAGGCTGCGGCATTCGGCCGGATCAATTCAACGTCGCTAACGATGATTACGGATCTCCGTCAAAGATCAGAAATAAGTGCAACGATCCCTTGCCGGTGGTAAACTCGATCCTCGATATACCCTGCTCTGGGGATACCCGGTGATATGCTCTCGGAGCCGACACTTGATATTGCCGGTCCATGTATCGGGCCAGCTGCGGGCTCGGGGTTATTTTCGGACGGACCGGGTCACGGCGACAGTCACGATCCACATAATTTACTTTATGCCTGGACATTTGGGGGTCGTTTTCCCCCATGTGAGTGAGCATCCATTTTCACAGTAGCCACAGTGGCCCCTCCCAAAGTAATGAGTACACCATCCTCCCGAATAACTAGTTCGGCGATCGTATACCGTTCTCCCAAATCAGTCACCGTACACCGTTCTCACAATGAGTGACAATATAAGGTTCTGGCGCAAATCAGTGACCTTATACTGTTCTCACAAATCAGTGACCGTACAACGTCCATCCACCGGCAGTGGAGGCCTCAGCAACCTGCTGTATTTCTGCGAGCTGCCAAGCTACCAGTCTCCACTGGGAGACGAGCCATCCAGGGTCCTGCTCAGAATGTATGGACAGGTGGGTACGACTCAAAATGGCTTTAATCTGCTATAGTCGGATTGTGTGCTTTTTGACGTTTTATTTGATGGCTGCGCTGCTTGATGGCAGTGCACTAGGCTCATGCACCGTACAATGATCGTACAATGTTGAAGTGTGATATAAGTATACGGTATGACCGATCTAAGTATGGTACGATCTAAGTAAAAAGCTGAGCGATAAATGGAGCGTTCTCACATCTGTTTAAAGTTTACAATTAAGTCCATTTGCCCATTCAAATAATTCGATATTTCGGCACTGTTTTGTACTCACAAAACTTTTTTTTATTCCACTATGATGTTGGCTATAGCGAACCGGTGCATTTATCGAATTTACCCACCGAGCCGGCCCACCCACTGCACCTCTCCGCGAGTCCCGACTGACCTGCACTACTCCATTGTCCGGTCACAGGTGCGGGACGGCGCACACGACTCGACCATCACCGAGTCGGTCATCTTCACACTGCTGGCAGAGCGGCGGCTCGGGCCCAAACTGTACGGCATCTTCCCCGGCGGACGGCTGGAACAATACATACAGGTGAGGCCTGGGGGTAGGTACAGTACGCCGACCGAAGGTGCAGGGTAAGAGGGCGGGTTATGTTACGACTTACGGGCTTCGGAAGGAGAAAAAGCGTGGCTGTACGCACGCACTCTTCGAAGAGATGAACACAATGGTAATAGGAACGATTTGAAGGAGCTCTGTACATTGATATCGAATAATGTTTTTTCAATTTCCTGCTTAGGTGCTTTTCAAACGAACAATGTTTTTCAACTTCCTGCTTAGGTACTTTTTCAAAGTTTCTAAGCTTAACTGCCCAAGACACAGGTACGGGATACACACTTCTGTTTATAGGTGTAAGATATTTCTGTTAGTATTTTATAACGTCTTTTGCTTTACTCATTCCACGTTTTATTTTTATTTGTCGTCATCATAGGTGTATGTACGTGTATGTTGGTTGCGCAACATAATGCCACGACCTTCACAGTGCAATGCAGCCCTGATAGAGCGACTAGCGTAAGCTAGCCACCGATATAGACCTCGTTCAGAGATCTTTGACCTCATGTCCTCGAGCGCACGGATGCAATGGCGCAGTTCGATGCACTTTGGTACGCTATATACAGCCGCATCGCGAGACAACGGGAAGGCGCTGGGGTTAGACTCGGCTGTCGGCGGCACAAACATGCAGAGACTATGGGCACTGGTCAGGGTCGAAGGGAGGAACGGGGTACGCGAGCTCACGGAGGAATGCGGGACGTTTTAGGGCGCTGCTCGCGGGACCAAAGTCGAAACTATAGTCGCATTAGGCCTCAGAATTCAGGGAACTGGCTTGAGGATGGTGACTGTGACATGAATATGCCAGGATCTAATGGAATGATGATGAAACGCCTTGCGAAAATTGTTGACCACTGCAATGGTAAAATGTGAATAAAAATATCCTTATCGACTGTAAACAAAACGAATAGAACTCAAATGTGTCGGTCTTCCGCTTTATAAACAGCTGCGTAGATACTCATGCAGCGAATGCCGGAATTGATTGGCTCCAGCCTTAGAATACATTACCATCATGGTTTCTAAGCTACTCCACTTAACTGCTGCCGTCTATCATAACTTGAATGCCGAACCACCTAAACCAGTGGTCGGCAGGTCCTCCGGGGTCGTGCCCCCTTTTTTGGCGCCAGGCAGGGCCATTACCCCCACCTACCAGACCCCATTGGTGATACAACCAAGGTTACTGAAATTCCATACTTTTCCGTGACTCTTTGGGTGCCATATCTGCGAGAAACCGCAGGCCCCCTCCCCTGCGGTTTCTCGCAAATATCTCAAAAACGTTGGCACGGAGCGCCACCATTTTGGAACATTTTATCATACATCGTTTCTGCACATGCTGTGAATATTTCAGATCAGAGTCACTCAAGGTCAGGTCACCAGATCACGTCAAGTGACCTCACCTCAGTAAAAACTGCAACGCCTGCTTTAGCTGCATTGAGTGACAGATCTCTTTCAAACTTTCAGGAATTGATAAAGGCAACAACATGTACAACATTTGTATCTCGGAGATTTGATGTCGGTGACCAAAGTTCAGGTCAATTTCACGCCCTCTCCCATTATCAATGGGAGAGGGCGCAAAGTCAATGGTAGAAAATTGAAAGGCGCCTCTTTTGGACCAGTGTCATTCCTAACACTGTGACACTCTTATTTACAAGTAAACATGACCGCTGAACCGGAAAATTGCACCCGTAACCCCACTGTATGTCCCTGAGGTCATTTCAGGTCATGAATTGTATCTAACAGTTATTCGCTAATAGCTTTTGATAAAGGCATCCCAGAGCGATGAAAATGCCTTAGATGTGTTCAGCTCGACGAAACGGATCGACTGATGTGCAACAAAACCTTCGATGCTTCTCGACGGGAGGATCACGATGCTGATAAAAGTGAGCTCTTGCAAGTTTTGAGTAAAAAGTTATTTAAGAAAAACTATCAGCAAGCAACGTACATTTTGGCAGTTTTTGTCTCCTGCAGGCTAAACCACCTTCGGTTGAATCTGAGGGCAGGCATCAGAAAAACGTTAAGAGAGCTATCGAATGCGTTTTTCCGCAGCGCTGTAGCTCTATCCTTTCCTGAGCTATAGGCCAGTTTGTCGAAAATTGTCAAAGGTTGACCTGGAAATTGGCGAAATTTTACGTTCGATGACCTCTGGTGACCTGACCTTTGATTTGACCTAAAAGGTGACCAAAGTTTTTTCTTCATCATTTCTTACGCTCTTTCGATCGCCGACTACGACGTTTCGCTAATGACCCAGGAGCCAAGTTAATAGGGGGTGTTCAACCTCCATCTCCAGCAGGGCGTGGAAATCCAGGAGCCCCAGCGGGGCGCGGGTTAACCCCCATACGTATAGGGGTAGCGGCATTTTTCGAGAATAGATCACGTTAAAAGGGTCGGATCACGAAAAAAAACTGTACCATCGAGCCGATCATTTTTATCTGTCCTGAAAATGGCATGACCTTAACCCGAATAACCGTTGATTTGTGAGATCTTTCTTGAGATCATGGCAGGCCACAAAATCTCACTTCAAGAAGTTACAGCAGGACCCGATTAACTCGGCAGTTGTTATTGACCTATGGAAGGTCACCCAATGACCAACGGCCTTTAAATTGGGTAGCAGCGGCTGCTTACCTTCACGGGCAACACGCTCAATTTTTCTGCAAAGCTCCAGCTCAGAGACTGAGATGCTCAGGTCAGGGTGCAATGGACGACTCCTCTCCCTTGCGTTAGTGACTGTGAAAACGCCAATAGACGAGCGCCGGCTAGTACATGACAGTTACTTTCCACGACTGTACGGAATGGTGAGCAGCTACATGAAAATTGGCATGCGCCAGCTAATCAGTTCATGCTTTGTGCGTTTGACCTCGACTAATCTTTGAATCCTGGGGCACAACAGTTGTGATGTTTGTCCCATCAAGGGAGCCATTAATTCTAAAAAAGATGAGGCTTTCTCAGAGGCCCTCATTACCCCCCGCCGAAGGGCGCCATTACCCCCAAAGGGGGCATGCCCCACCATTTGCCGACCCCTGACCTAAACCCTGGCACTTGTGAGTTGTGACGACTGAACGCCCGGTTGATAAAAACCTGATTCATCCCGGATCTGTTCCACAGGCACTGCCGCTATCATGCAGCGATCTCAGGGACCCACAGATCAGCACAAAGATCGCTGAGAGGATGGCCATGGTGCACTCGCTGGCGGTGCCCATCTGCAAGGAGCCCACCTTCCTGTGGGTCACCATGAAAAAGTGAGCACCGCGGTGGTTGCACGCTTGTAATGAACTCGTTACATAACTTTAAATAAATGTACGTACAACGTTCATGTTACGATACTATGTAGGATGAAATAAATGTTAGCAATAGTTTTATGCACGATGTTTGAGGTCGCGATTCCAGGCTAGTGCGTTCACGAATCGTTGCCAGCTCTTTGGTGGTGACAGGGTGACTGACAATGACGCACGACAGACTATTATTTCTAATATTGGGCATGCTCAGGGCCAGCGAGGAGGCCAACTACGAAGCATCGACTGGCGACTGGCGATCGACGATTTTGACAAGTTTCATCTCAACAAAATGCTACATAGATTCAGGTGCATGAAATGGCCGACCTTGCTCGATAACTGAAACACCACATAACCTTGTTACTCTCTGCGCTACCTACTGTATTCAATTCAACTTCCTCCCATCGAGCGATAAGATAAGAGTAACAATACCTTAAGTGCGAAAAATGAGACGACCAACCGGTGTTGATTTTTCCGTTCTAAGGTGGATCCAGCTATCTGTAGCATGTCTGAGTGACGAAACGTTAGCAGACAACCCGGAGAAGGCGGCAATAATCAAGGCACTGCGGCTCTGCGACTACGAACACGAAATGGAGTGGGTCAAGTGAGTATAATTCTTCCTCATAGCATGCAAAGACTGGTGCGACTATGAACTGCTTTGAATGACCCATCTATGCGCATTTTTGTTTCGTCCTTGGCCGAAAGGAGATATCGAAGGACAAACGTCAATGGCACAACCCGAATAAATGAGTTTCCATTTCAAGCACACATTTTGATATCCAGTAACAACAAAAATGCCGCCACAGATAATGTATGTCTCTTTCAAGCAGGACAATAATTAGTCAGCGTGACCCCGAACCTGACCCATCGCGGCCGACAGGGACTACATCGGCGGCGTGTGCTCGCCCGTGATGTTCTGTCACAACGACTGTCAGGAGGGCAACATCCTGAGACACGACCTGGGCACCAGTGGCCGGCCGCCCAAGCTGACGCTCATCGACTACGAGTACTGCAGCTACAACTATCGCGGCTTCGACCTGGCCAACCACTTCTGCGAGTGGATGTACGACTACTCGCCGCCGCAGTACCCCTTCTTCGCGGCGTTCCCCAGCCGGTGGCCCAGCAGGGAGCAGCAGGTCAGATCATTCGCTGATGTTGAAATGAAAGACGACTGAAATAGGCCTAGGATGTATTTCAAGTCAGCCATTTAAATCTTTTCTGGTTTTCTCGCCCTTATTATATGCTTATTTTGATAGGCTTTGAGGCCGACCTTTTGCGTATCTGGCATTGTTGGCCGCTCGGATAAGAGGCTGGGCTCAAATAGATGTCGCCCTCCGTCAGTATCGCTCGTCGTCGTCGCGCAGCACTCACGCGAAGTTGTGACAACTGACGACAAAGAGCTAACTAACGACCATAGGTCATTCGCGGATATCGGAAGTCTTACAGGTAAAAAACAACACCTCGGAGTTACGTTAATTGTCCCATTAATCCGTTAATCTGTCGTTACAGTTACGGTACATCCGAGCCTACATCAAAACACGCGACGGAGCAGCCAAAGAGGCCAACACTTCGCCGACGAAAGTCACGCTCAGCGACGGTCCGGAGCCCGAGTCAGGGGACGCAGGCAGTAGCGAGCCGAATGCTGAAGTCGAGACCGCCAACGGGCCTGTCGAAGATGGACCGGGGTCTGAGCCTGTAACGGCGACAGCGACGGAGACGGCGACAGAGACTGAGACGGAGAAGGCGGAGACGAACGGGACCAGTGAGCAGTTGGAGGAGGAGGAGCGTCTTCTCAAGGAGGTGCGCGTCTTCACCCTGGCCTCCCACCTCTTCTGGACGCTGTGGAGCATCGTCAACGCGCCCGTCTCCACCATCCCATTCGGATACTGGGTACGTGGCCAAACATTTCCTTAGTAATTTGTATTGTGTCCTAACTTCAAGGAGCATATAAAAACAAGATTCGTTATTTTTTCGGGCAGGGTTGGATAGAAGCATAACATATGTCTTGTTTTGAATAAAAAAAAATATTGCAGTATTATATATATGTGCTTCTCCAGACAGAAACGTCCTTCAGCCAATGGTCAGATGTCAAGGAACACGTGGATATAACGAGCCGTTACTGTATCTGGATGACAAGGATCGTCCAGGATCGACAGAGACAGAAGTTTAATAAAAACATTCAGCTGGATGACACCAGCTTATCCTGATTGAATGCCTCCATAAAACACGTCTAACCACTGTTTTGCTTATCGACAGGAGTACGGTCTGTGTCGCCTTCGCGCCTACCAGGACCACAAGCAGATGCTGCTGGAGTCGGACCCCAAGTGTCCGAAGGTTGAGCAGGGTGTGAAAAGGTCGGCGGCCGAACTCGAGTAGCTGGCCTCCAGACACGGCCGTGACTGAAGCCGCACAAACCAGCGGGGCTGGGTTCTCGAGACTGCACCTAAAAGCCGTGTGGTTTGGCTGCACTTCCGATGAAAGTTGCTCGAGGATAATCGATTGGAAGCCGACTGAAGCCCAGCCAAGTCGTGCGACAAAATGGAATATTCCGCACGATGTCCGCTTTTCATCGTCTGTCTGCTGTCGCTGGGAACGAGACGGGCGCGCCAGTGACTAGTGAGAGCTGTGATCCCATAGGCAAATAGGAGGGCCGCGGCCCCGACAGACCCCTCGCAGAACTGTGATGCTTGAGCCAAGTCCTGCGCAGAACTGTGATTCCACGTAGTAATGTCCTCGGTCACGTGTGGCACGCGGCGAGCTCCCCATCTATGCAGCCTCGCACTCTGGCGTCGCTCCGCACCCTGTGCCTTCTCACGCGCGGTTGGTTCGGGCATGCTAAGAGAGTTGTGCAGGCTAGTGAGGTTTTTACACAATGTCATCGGCAAGGTTCTTTAAACAGCAAAAGCCTTCTGCCGACCGAGAAGTCGTTAGTAAAGTGAAATTGTGAATGAGATTTTATCATGTGTCCCGGCCTGCTGGTGACATAAACTGTACCGTTGACCTAGCAGACAAAACATCGTTTACTGGGTGGGACGTTGACAAGAAGTCCAGTGACTTCCCCCAATGGCTTGAAGCAGCACTTGAACCATTCCATACATGTGGCCCATTCCTCATTTCCTCAATCCCGATATTTTTTCCAGCATACACGCGCACTGCTCAAACCCATTCACGGCTACCGGTGCACTCTGATGCCTGCACGTCTGTTCTATTGTCGTGATTGATTAATTATATCACCGTGTGCTGACCCAATGCCGTATTAGAGTGCTGACCAGTCCCGTGGTGTCCGAATTCAGACAACACGGGCTTGATATATCGGCGATACAGCCGTGTAACGTTTGATACTAAATGTTCCGCATGTTCCGCAACTGTTTCGCGTTTCGCACTAAGCTTTTACGGATGATTCTGGGCAGATCTCAGGAAGGGGCGATACACATATTTTGTTTGATCGCTATACGTTCGAACCCGACTGTGTTCGATTATTATTTCATATTTAATCCAGTACCGTGTCATATGTTACAGTACAAGGATGACACTGGCTAGAAGCATTAGAGCGTAAGTTCCATTATTATTACAAATGTTTTGATTGCCGATTAGGCTGAGGACCATAGCTTGTCGTCTATCGGCATTGCTTGATCGTGCGATAAATACTCTGGACGCGGTTAATGAATCCTGACTCGCATATCCTTCCCCACCATTTTGTGTGTGGTAGGTATAACTAGTTGCTGGCCGTCCGTTTGATGTGTCTCCACTCTACCATTATATTGCGGCCGTTTCCGGGTGTATGCGAATTGGAGTTCTAAAAGTTGTTTTGACCTCTAGAGTTTTTTAAAACCTGCATTGCAAATATTGTATGACCAATGTCCGATGACTGTCACCGAGCGCTATGTCTGATGTCAAGGTCGCTTGCGATGGCCACATTCAGGATAAAAGTGATACACTGCAATGGTAAGAACGTGGTTTTGGGTCTTATCAATACACGATTCACGACATAATCGCACAGCGAGTGATTTGCTGTTTTTGTGAGCAGGTCAGAGGTATTCAAAATAAACAGTTGAAAAATCAAGTGACTCATGTGTTAAATGATAACTTTTGTTAGTACTTATCCATACTTCGACGACACGAAGTAATAAGTTTGTCCTTATATCCGGTGCAACCAAGCAACATTACCCGTGATCAGCGTTAACGGTGATGAGTCGCGCCCAAATAGCCCGCGCCAAGGTGGTGGGCGTGGGGAGAGGCTCTCGTCATATTTTTGGCACACCGTATAATCTGGTATAATCCATCTGCTCCGCGCTGATGTGAAAATTTCCGAACTGTTGAAAACTTTAGACACGCCTTGTTCTCATCGTCAGGGCGACGAAAATTGAAACAAATTTCATATATTCCATAAACTGACACAGATCGACTGTGTCATTTGATGCAGCATGACCTTTTCCGGTCAAGTCGTGACGTTGACCAGGTCAAATGTCAAATCGACCTCTTAGGATCAAAGTATCGTTCATTTGACCTTTGACGCGTCTCTGCAAGAAACACGATGTCGGTAAAACAATGTCATAAAGTGCTATAAGCCGCTTTGAGATAGAATGTAAAAACGGGAAATTTTGAATTTTGGGCATAACAAAGGCAATAGGCATGAGGCAGCATTTCGGATGGCACCAGCACCACATGACAAGACAATGACAAGTTATAATACGACACAGACACTGACACACTTCAACAAGACAAGAAACAACTGAGAAAAACTTACAATTCACTGACATCACGCGTCGCTTGCGAACAGCGCTTCGAAATCGCAAGATACCACAAAACAACCTTTCCTTGATCCCCCGCCCTCCGCGAGCTTTCGGCTTCAGAGTTGAACGGAGAAACTGCCTAATTCAGTGGCCAGCGCCACCTGTTTTTTTTTTTTAGTCGTATCGCTGCAGCGCCACCTGGACTTTATATAGGTTCGTTTTTTAGGGCCTTGGCTTCGCCCATCACATTACCATCTCAATCTACTGTCGTTCAATTATTATGCGTTGTGTGGTGTAGTTTAATGGCACATTAGTCGTTACCAACAGTACCTTGGGTAAATTGTTTCTAATTTTATTTGTGTGTGCATACTGGATTCAGTCAGTGCTGCTGAGTGAGCTCGTTTGTCATCGGGGCACTTTGTTTTGTTTGTTTGTTTTGTTGGGTTAGGCCCTTTCGGTCTGACAAGACCATTGCAGAGCCGGAAGGATGATAGGTATTAGGGGGAGACATTGGTCTGGGCAGGCACCCTAGTGAGTCGCCGGGGCTGAGCCCGTCCAGAGGACAGGCCACCCAGCCCCAAGGCACTCACTGCACCCGGCTACGGGGTGCGCTCCCTCAGGAGCAGCGGTGCCGCTCCAAGGGAGCAGCCCGCATGAGATAAAGTTGCCTGGTGTTGCCGAAGCGTCATTATTCTTTTCCTCAGGTTAATAAATCTCCAAAAAGTTAATTGCTTTCAAAACGGGCTTCGCTGAGGAAAACTAAATATTATAACCAAATATTTCGGCTTTATTGATCAGCCTTGTTCACTGGTTTGAAATGAAGTTCACTGGTTTTCAAACCAGTGAACAAGGCTGATCAATAAAGCCGAAATATTTGGTTATAATATTTAGTTTTCCTCAGCGAAGCCCGTTTTGAAAACAATTAACTTTTTGGAGATAAAGTTGCCTGTCCAGCCCGGAGGGGGGTTGCGGCGTGGAGGAGGATTTCAGTATCCTGAGGATAGAAGCACGGAACGGTGATCGGGGCACTACGGAATGCCGGTGATCTTACTTTGTCATGCTGACTTCGTAGTTAACTTTATCCCAACTGATCCTCAATCACTCCGAAGTATCCCGACGAGTTCACCTCGGCAGTGACTGTAGGACGGGGCGGAACGCTTCCCTAGGAAAGTAACCCCATGTATGTACGGGGACATGATTGCAACGACCTCGACCCATTCAGCATTTTCACACACTGCTCAGCATTGAAGGATTGGAATTTCGTATGGAAATTTCGTATGGAGCTACTATCATGCAGATAACGATCTTGAGTATTTTCATACATCCATTTTGTCAACCAGTCTGCAGCTGTCCCGCAAAACCCACGGGAAGACCGCTGGCGAGTAACAAAGGACATTCAGAGCGAAAACGGGCATATATTTAGAACTCACAAAGTTTAAGATACGGTAAGGACAACAAAAATAAAACGAAAACGGGCGATAAACATGTCGATCTAGCGTGGCCCACGCCGCAAACTACAGCAAGCCTATCACAACATGGCTGGCTGACCGCTGACGGTGGCACAACCACGTCACGTCTCCCACCTACTCAATGTCACGGCGTCTCCGCCCGCACATTGCCTCACATATGGCGACAGGCCTCCCTGGAAGAGTAGGAGGGAACTGAGTGCTGGACCGAGGGTGAAATCCACCACACTGTAACCAGCCATCGTGCCATTCCTATCTGCCGTGATCTCTCAGCGTTGGAGGAGCATCACATCTTAACCATCTACAGACGTGCGTTCTCCATTTTCGGGCACATGCTAAGGCACACGTTTTACACCGGAGGCGTGAGTTCCAGCTAACATTTCCCGTCACTATCCTCCACGAGCTACAAAGGCCACAGTTGTAACAGGCTCTTCGGTTTCTGTGCCATGGGGGCACCACAGGCGCCATCCGGGGCACAACAAAACAGCGCCCTCTTCCAACAACCGAGTCGAGCACAGGCATCGGCAGCGCACATCACTGCAGTATTCGAGTGGGACACGGAACCACAGGCGTATGTCAACTCACGAAACGTCGCACCTGCCGCAGCTTACGGTTTCCGAGCTGGCACTCAGTGGAACCGCCAAACTAATTGTGACAGTCTGTGTCAGCCCGTCAACGGCAGAGACGGACGGAACAGACATCGTTACAGTTCCTTAGAAGAATAATACAGCATCACGAGGTATGATCAGTGATCACCAATGCCGCTTCCATTTGTATAGTCGCGAATAATCACATAAATAGGCGACACCTGCGATACAAGGCCAGGCGGCAAAGGCAGCTCAGTGCCGCTCCCTTTCCTGGATATGATTCAGTCCAGTCGGAAGCGGACCGCTAGCTCCGTACAACCACAGGTATTGGCTCATTCACACACTATCAGACACGCCCGTTACATATCCGGTATGAAAGTGGTTACAGACATTTGTGCACGAAGAGGTTCAGACCGGACGATGAGTGACACTTTTTGGGTGTGTTACACCATTCATCGCCAGTTAATCCCTACAGAGTAGACGTAAAGGACAGAGTTGACAGCGTGAGAAGGCACTCATTCATGCATTTACAGGCACATGAAGCAGCTAGACTCGCAGTTGCGCCCTCGACATTGTAACAGTCATACATTTCAACTCAGGATAACGCACTACGCAACAGCTCAGCGGTCGGCGCAGTTACCATCGAATGCCAGTGGGCCAATACTTTCCGGTCACCTCAATGTGCCTATAGAACGTTACTTTCATCACCATACCCACTGCGACCTTTGATCACAGCGACGACTGCAAAGCAGGCCCCTCGATCCTCCCTGGACGGACACCACATAGTGGTGCACCGTCTAACGATCCAGTTCAACAATCCAGTCCAACAACATATTAATTTTTCACCTCCCAATGCAAACATCCCAAAAACGATGCGTTCTTCACAAAAACAACCTCACGCTCAGTACGAGCGGTTTCGCAGTCTCACAGGATCCATCCATTCACACTCACACCACACGATACAGGCCCCGCCGCTTTACTAGATCCATAATTCACACGAAGCCGAGCGTTTCACACCAATCCCGCCCAGTCCCATCACAACAGGGGCAGTTGATCTGGCTGTACATCCACAAAGGCCAGTGGAAACTGACCGCTGCGGCCGGCCACGGTGCCGTAGCCCCACTCGTCGTTTAACCGACCCTGGACCTGCACCCGCTCACCGGCCTGTGGGGACAGAGACGGACGAAAGGTCAGTGGGGAGCGGCACTGGTCGGGTGTGGGAGCTCTCAGGGACACAGGTGTGCAGAATGTGCATATGAAGGGTGGGCCTCATCGGGAGATTAACGTTCATTCGGGTGGCGGAAGTCGCTATTGCAGGTGAGCGAAAACCAGCTGTAGGAGCAAAACTAGCGACACAAGCGACACAACCGTTTAACTGCATTTTATACTTCCGGGCCACTTATACCCCACTTATACAGTACCTAATACTTTAAACTGACCCACCATTCTTCCGCCTTTACCGGCGAAAGAAGTTAAATACCATTGAACCACCCGTTATTAATGGCTCGTACCATTGAAAACCCGCTAAAACTTGATCCACCAACAAGGCTACCTTTCTCGGTCCGACGGAATGGACCAACTGACAACTCCCGCCTTCACAGAAGGACCCGGAACCAACAGCCCCTCAACTCACCGTGAGTGCCAGATCGGAGGCCTCCTGCGGACTGAAGTCGTACAGCACCAGGGCGCCCTCTCCGTGTCCCGGCTCCGGCGCGGCCTGCGGCTCCGGCTCCGGCTCCCCCAGCAGTGGGACCAGAATCTGCACGTACGCCTCGGGGAAGATGCCCTGTCGCGAGCCGCACCGGCCGCGCAGCCACTCGGCGTTCACACGCTCCACCAGATGGATCGTATCGTCGGCCTGGGGGCAGTGGAGATGCGGGGTTAGATGAACACAGAGACATGGTAGAGCAAAGTTATAACACGGAAACTAAACAGAATGGAGGTCGCACAGTGTCATGACAACCTGCAGAGGTCACATACATTATATAATGATACATGGTATGTCGTCGATGCCGGCAGAAAAGAATGCTCCCTTTGCCGGCAACGATGAGTGCGAAGTCGTTCGGTAAATTGGCGTGACAAGTCCAGAAATAGAAATTAATTTCAAACATTGACCATGGCTGGATCGATCAAGGCAGCCAACCCACACCCTTCAATCGCTTCACAAACACGAGGGCGACAGAGCGTAATAACATCACCGCGTGTTGACCCGATGATTGCC